ATATTGTATATGTCCAGATTTATTAATGTCGGTTTTCGGTTGTATAAAACAGTTTTTTTATAGTTATTTGTGATAAGTTCTAGTGTCTTTGAAGTCTAAGGATCGATAAATTCTAATTTTTTGAAAAATTATTTTAACATAATTTTTTTTTTTAAGCTTGTTTATTGAAAATATCACAATTTGTCTCAAAGGACATTTACAATAGTGTTCAGAAATCATATTCACACTTTATGTACAGTACAAAAAATAAATTATTCAGAAAAATACTATATATATATATATATATATATATATATATATATATATATATATACAATAAATTAGTATAAAATAAACTAAATATAAATAACTAAAAAATAACACATACATACCTATATACACTATTTACATTACAATCAGGCGAGAGAACTCCGAGCCAGACTTGTCCCTCTAACTGGAGGAAAAAGCATGACTCCGAGAGATCCCTGCACTTCTCTCTCAACCGTGTCACCGAGACTAAACCCAGTGGAGATTGAGCGAGAGTGCTTTGAACTTAAAATTCGATTTTTCTTGAGGACGATATTTAAAAATCATTTTAATTTTAAAAATGTATGCAGAGGGTAATGTATTTTAAATATTCTGCTTGAAACTGGTTTTGCCACTATCGAGAAAATGAAAAGACAGTTCATTTTAAAATGTCAGAATGACATTTAATCTATTGCTCAACATATTTTGCTGTGCCTTGTCCTTGTTGCTATCTGGCTTTCCGCAGGTAGAAATAATATAAATACATTATATATATATATATATATATATATATATATATATATATATATATATATTATATATATATATATATATATGTGTATATATATATATATATATATATATATATATGTATAAAACTTTGATGATTTTTATTAGTAAATCTTAAATATTTGCTGCCAGAGTAGTCAATATTAATATTGGAAATTATTTCATTTTTTGATGTTTTATTTCGTTTTAGTTGTTTATATTTTAATCTAAATTTATTTTAAATAGCATTCTTGTTATATATTCAATAATAAAATGTATAATTATGTATGTATAGTCTCGAATTACCTATTTAACAAAAGTATTAAATACTCTACTGAACTATTAATGTCAGGCTGAACCATTCAAGAATTAAATATTGGAAAAAATATTTATTTTACAAATTTTATCGATAGATTTAAATATTATTACGGTCGTTGACCCGTTTCATAGCTTTTGGTTAATTTTATTTGAAATGGTCTTTAAATATTATCTGGTTGTAATCCTGCCATATCTCCTTCAGTTGTTTATATGCCATCTTATAAACAGGCTTTCAAATGATATCACTTTGTTTTGATGTTTTTTTTTATTTATTAATTCTGTCGAGTAACTTTTTTTTTTTGCATCTTGATGGATAGCAGTTAGCAGTGTTTTTCTTTTGTTTATAATAATACATCAAAAGAAAACATTGCATCAACAGCGTTTAAATAAATTACATAGCTTAGATTCTTAAGTGTGTTTCGACGTAATTTTCATATCGAAGTCAGAATTAAAGTTTTTTTTTTTTTCACTAGGTATAATCGAGGATCTTACTTTAAAAAGTATACACATCTATATAAAAAACATATTTTATACATATATAACATTGTTTTTCACGTTTTTGATTTAATTGAGTGAACTGAACTCACAAAATATAAATTTAACGCATTGCCTTTTTCAAGTGAAGCTTATGTTCTGATCAAAAGGTATCGAAAACGTCAATAATTATTATTTTTTTTTAAACCCTTTTTTTATAAGTATGGCTTGTGTACAATCACGAAATCAGTTAATGAAGTATAAAAAAAACTCGAATATAATTTCAGGATTAATTTTACATCTTTAAGCTTTATCAACAAATTATTAAACTCACTAACTGAAAGTAACGATTGTAATTTTAAGTTATATTAAAAAATATAGTATCCATGAAAGACATGTTCAGTTGAAAAATCCTACTTCTATCAACCCCCCTCCCCTGTCAACGCTATCATTATTAAATTTCATTATTATTTAATTTATTTTTTTATTGCTGTTGTTATTGATATTATTTGGTTACTTTGTTTAGAATTGAATATGGTGCCAAATAGTACGTGAAATAAAATTGAAATGACAGCGATAAAACGGTGAATAAAACGTTTAAATTTTAGAGAAAAAAACTTTACAACTGAGTTATTAGGTTTTAAGTTAAAGGTGTTTGGGGGCCCACAAAGCCATCGAATTCCTCACGTAGCCAATCCTTACAATCCAAAATCCTTAAAATCCTCAATGCTCCTTACTTTGTCACTAATGAAATCGTCCATAACGACCTTAATGTTCCTTATGTTTCCGAATTGGCAAAATCCAGATACCTATCCTTCCATAATAAACTTCCGAATCCTCGCTAATCTTGCTTCCTCCTCGATCCCTGATAGCCCTCCATGCCGTCTGAAAAGAAGATGGTCTCGAGATCTTCTATTGTAAATGCATCTTTTGTTTTTATATCGCTACCAGTGGGTAGTTTCTCAGCAAGTGTTTTAATGTTTTTATTTTCTGTTATTTTCACATTTACTGAATGTATTTTTTCTTAATAGAGTTGTAAATATCATAAATAAATGATAAAAAAAATTTAAAGGTGTTGTAGAATAGAAGCAACCAAAAAATAAATAAATATTTGTTTACTATTGTATGCTCAAAATGAAAAATAAATATTATATTTATGTCAAATATACTCCCAATTTGATTTTTCATTTTTTGTCTCGGAATCTTTTCTTTAGCTCGAGTTTACCTCTAGGTTCTATATTGCCTTGCCTACATGGTTTTTTTTTTCATTTCTGCATTTATATATATTTATGTATAAAAAAAGTTGGATTTTAGTGGTAAATTTAATATTTTATGGGGGCCCGAAAAAATGATCTCTGACAGCCCTTGGTTTCTCTCCACACCACACAGGGGCCCTATATACACCACACATATTCCATGACCTCGAGGTCTTAAATATTTTGGGAATGTTAATATCTTGGTCAGGAAGAACGTGAGTTATGCGAGATTAAATTCCCTTTAAAAATGTGGAGAGGGTAGTCTCTATTAATAATTACATAAAAATTACAACAAATAAAATTAATAAAAAAAATGTAATGTAAGGCCTCTTAATAATAATATTATGTTTCTTTACACGATTTCCTTTTTATATTTTTTCCGTCCATCCATATTGTCCATAAGTTAATCAATTATTTAAATTATTATTCGTGTATAATGCTTCCTAAAATCTTTCTCAGTGTTGCTCAAAAGTATTAATTTTAATTTTGAAAACTCATTCATTTAATTCGAAACGTTAGTTGCCAATCTACAACCATATGGTGCAAATGTATTAATATCTGTTTTTGCAAAAATAACTCAATTTGATGCACTATCTAGTTCCTCCATGGTATCTTGTCCTGCCTGACATTACTAGGAAAGTTGGAAATTAATTGATAACGAGTAAATGGTGAATCCTTCCTCCTCATCTTCACCCTAATGATTAATATCACTGTAGCAGTATCGTTTAGTATTTCATCAACTGAGTTAATGTATAATAAATTGATTCTAAATGATATTTAGAGTCAATTTATTTATATATATTTATATATTCATATATATAAATATATATGTATATATATATATATATATATATATATATATATATTTATATATCAAATTACCAAAAATTGATAAAAATTATGTCATGGAAGGTGACTCAATTCTTAGTGTCCAAACTCCACTAATGGAAAAAGAGTTAAGACCAATTTCGTGTTTTTCTTAAGGTAGTTACAGTTTTTATTTAATAAGAAGGAATTGCTCAAAAACTGTTAAAGATAATTAAATTCTAAGTACACGCTGATTAAACTGAAGCAAGAGATATATCCTTTCATGAGAAACTCCAGTTCCATCCGAATCCTCTTGTTTCGAGCTTTGCTTCTTCCTCAATTCCTGAATATCTTCCTAGGCGTCTGAAAAGAAGATGGCCTCGTGATCTTCTTCCTTGGAACTATTAGGGAGTGCTATCATTCGGTAGTGTCTCCACGAATCTGTTCATGTCATTACCCTTGATTTGCTCATATTTATTAGTTTTATTTATTTAGTACAGTTGTAAATTTCATTAAATAAAAAATTACTTAAATCCATGATAAAATTTACTTTAAATTTACTAAAGTCAATGATAACAGGGACTTTCAGGAGATCTAATGGTTGCACTGTTGCAGTGACAGTGCCCATACACGAGCAGCATATCTCTGTACAGCGGCCGTATTAGAACTCGTGAAAGTCACTTTTATCATTGACCTTAGTAAATTTAATCCTGTTTTCTCAACAACAAAAAAAATTATTTACGATTGTATACTTAGAATTAAATTGAACAATTACTTCTTATCGGTACATACATCAAAGGAACTTTTTTGCTGGGAATTTCTTTTATAATCAACACCACAGTTTAGCCATTAAGAATTGACACTCACTGTTTAATTCTATGTTCAAGTGATCCTTTTTTTTAAGCTCTGCGATAATAATCACACTGTATCGATTAAAACTTTCGAGATATAATTAATGTATTGTAGATTTTATCCATCCTAAAGAAACCCGTAGATGCATGTAATGAGTTCATGAATTCTGTGTCTTTTGTACTTCTAGTGATTTAGTTCATCTGAATAATGTATCATCATAGTGTGTAGGTGGCTTTACACATTTCCGAAATTTCAAAAATACTCAAATAAGGAAAAAAACAACAACCGCGGTGTCCGGATATGTCAACGTTTTAGTGTTCCAAAGAAATATATTATTTTTAAATTCGGTACATATTATTTTTATTTAAATCAGGAAAAATAAAAATATTTTTATTAAAACGGAGTAGAAATGCAAACATTTGTTAAAATCTGGAACACCCTAGCTCTTGCCGCAAGCTATTTGTTCATTTTATTTGTCTTAAAAACCGACTGCAGGTTCTTGTTTCCATGGTTTGGGAAATGCATGGACGCGGCTTAAGATTATCTTTATGGTACTTATGTAATGTGGAACTCCCTGTCGACTTTGTAGTCCTTACATACCTTCCTTCAGGAGCACAGGTAGATCCGTAATTGCGGGTCATTTCCAGGTAGAAAGTGTGCCTCTTCCCCCACGCTTGTTCCTAATCGGATGCCTCCTGTTACCAGTTCTTGAGGCTTGCCGAAGGTATGCACCCCCTTCTGCCCTCCTTATAGCATGTCTTGAACGTCTCCTTAATCATCTCTTTAGCTACAGTGAGGATAACTCACTCCTAAGATTCAGTCACTTACTGATCCAGGATTTAATTTTGGGGGCTTCAGCCCGAAAGATTTATATATATATATATATATTTATATATATATATATATATATATATATATATATATATATATATATATATACGATAATTACTTTGGGAAAAAAAAAGAAAAACTAATTACCTATATGAAATGGTATTTAAATGATTCTTGAAGTCATGTTAAATGTAATTACACCAACAATAATACTTTTACAGATAAAGTTGGTTACATTTTACCTTTTTGGGGGGAGGAGAGGGAAACGAGAGGAGGGGCATCAGCCCGATAGCTCTACCTGTGGTTCAAATAGATTTTATTACAGGTTTAAGATAAAAAAATAACTAGGAATAGATTCTCATAGACTTGTTATTTATGCAATAGTCCTCACTTTTTTTTGTTCTTGTTGGAATTCTCGGCCTATTAGATCTGTCGTCGCCTTCACAAGCCTACTCCATCTGTGCCTATCTTGGATTAGTTGTTCCTCGATATGAATTCCCCACAAGACATATTATCAAAATACTCAATAAAATAATTAATAGTACACATTTCACAAACTATAAGAAATCCGAATTTGTTGATCGGTTTTTCTCTAGACTTGTGTTTTTGTTTCTTGATTATGTTCCATCTGCTGTCGATTTTCAAGAAAGATTTGTACCAAAGTTTTACGTAAACATTTTTTTTTAAATACTGCGTCTTGAATATTTATCACCTATGATATGTCGAACACTCGACTAGCTTCCTTCAATAATTCAATAAATGTAATAAATATATTAAAAAACGACTACATTGATATTGGTAATTTTTAAAAACCTTTCTCTGAAAAAAGCTTTGAAAGTAAAAATAGTAGTAATGAATAAAGTTAACAATTATTAATGAAGCAGCATATTTGAAAAGACTCAGTCAGAATCTCTGAATTATTAATTACCAGAAATCTGAGATAATAATAATTTTGTTATTAAATCATCTTCAAACCTACCAACTAAATAATAATTTATAAGTTTTATTTCTAACGAAGAAAGTACTCGTGTAACTCTTTTTCTTTAAATTAAGGTCGTGCCAGCTAGAACCTTGTGAAGCCAAAGTTCAAGGTAGCGTATTGTAAATATTTAAATATTATTGTAAATATTTAAGTGAAATAATCAGGTAGATTTCATTGATTAGAAATAAATACATCTATTGCCTCACCCGTATTCTTTTGGGTATGAGACGTTTCAAAATTCATATGTCAACCTGTTCGATTGTTTATCTTCTATAATCTCATGAGTGAATGCTATATAAATAAGAAAATATTTTAGGAAACGTTTTTTAAACGATTTCAAATCTTTACAGCAGTTCCTAAAAAAAAAAAAAACGCGAAAAATTTCTAGGATCTATTCTCTTATACTTCGTGACTAATCCTTACCTGTTTTCTGTTTCAGAATTTTTTCTCCAAGAGGTCCTTCCGGTCGAACCCGCTCAAGCGAACCAAGAGTGTCACCAAACTCGAGAGGAAGAAAGTCTTGGAGGCTGATGGGTGAGTCTCAACTTGTGCAAATTTATTTTATTGGTAATAAGGTTCAATTTTTAGTGAAGTCAACGGTATTATCACTAATATCTCAATGTTTAGATTGAAGTAATACTACACCCAGAAAGGAATAAAATAAAATTTTGTAATATTCCTGAAAATAATTTAGGCAACTAAGATGCAAGTCGTATTTCTTTGTCTTAAACGTGTATTTAAAATGGCTTTGACCCAAAATTACTCCTCGTTTACCTCGTACGTCCTGATAGTTTTTCTTTAGTGCAGTCAGATCCTAATTTTTAGAAGGAAATTCTGACGTTTCTCTCACTTTTGTTGTTTGAGTAAGATCAAATCATGTTCTATATATCACTAGACCACAATGAATACCATAAAGTAAGTATATACAAAATGTAAGATTGTAGAATACACCAAATTTTGATAAAATCAATTAAAGATCCATGGAAGGGGTAAAGTATGACGGCCGTCCATCCCTCCACCAAAATTTAAAATAAAATAACTACAAAAATGACCACAAATTAAGAAAAAATTGATTAACAGTGACTGGCAGCTTGTTAATGTTCAACATTTTCACACAATTTAATTGTTCATTGAAAAACAATCTCTCTCAAAGGACATCTATAATACCTAGTTCTGTCTTAAATATTGTTACAAGGAAGTATATACACACTTCAAGAGAATATTTTTTTTTTCAAAACCTTTATTAGAAAACAAAATATATATCTATAGAGATTAAAACAAAAAAGAAATTACTCAAAATGTCTCCTTTTTGCCTTGACAAGTATTCCAATCTTCGTAATCTTCGTGACCAGTATTCCATAGCAGCACGCAGCACTTCTTGAGAAAAGCCCTCAACTGCTCGGACCAGAGATTGTTTGAGGCTTTCCGAGTTAGGGTGTGCTCTGTGGCAAGTCATCTTGAGCAGTTCAGACTAAAGCCGATAATCTAGTGGGTTGAGATCAGGGCTACCGGAGAGCCCTTCCGAGGCAGGGATGAACTCTGGAATGTTCTTTTGCAGCCACTGCTGAGCTGACCTGGTTTTGTGAGCTCGAGCGGAATCCTGCTTGAAAACCCAATGACTTCCAGCAAACAGAGTATCATGGCAATGATATATTGACAACAGGTTCCAAAATATCGTCCTGGTAGTTTTTAGCGGTTGTTTTAATTCCATTTTCACAAAAAAGGAGCTTTGTGGTGCCATCAAAGCAAAGTATTTACCAAACCATCACTGAGGAAGGGTGATGGCCTCTTTCCACTCTTCCAATGACTCCCTGGGTCTCTTTAGAGCTGTGTGCGTACGATCATTTTTGTGATTAAATTTTTCTTCAATGTAAAAATTTTCTCATCGCATAACAAAATCTTTCGATGAAGATCATTGGTGTAACGGCCAAGGAACACTTTGCATCTATCCATTCCAATTTTTGTTTTGGGAAGTGGAAAGCATTTTTCCTGTCATTCTTCGAATACACCCATCCTAAGGTCAGTTTTAACTATGCGAGACATTGATCTGAGAGAGATTCCCGTTTCCCGAGACATGATTTGTTGTTTTCGAATGGGATTCCAGTGCGGGAGGACAGTCGAAGTCCGTCACATACAGATAGAGTCTCATTATATCTATTTATAGTGCGATACAGGAACATAAGGCTGATATCCAAAGGTTTCAAAGTGTTGAAAATCTCTGACTTACATTTTCCAACTTTTTGTAAGGCGATCACAGGCGGTTTTCTTTATCACCCATTTTACCCCATTTCTTTATCACCCATGTTAACTGAGCGAAAGAAACATACAAACCTATTGAGATTATTATCCTGACGTTTAAAGAAAATAACCTGATAGAGGTAAGGATTATCTAAATAACACCCAAGGATGTAAAAAAGTTCAACTTTTGTATTAACAGTATTTATGGCGGAACTAGGTAATGTTCAGAGATCACATTCACAGCCTATGTACAATAAATAAAAATAAATTAAACAGAAAAATAATATCTATATACACTATTTACAATCAGGCGAGGAAACTCCGAGCCAGACTTGTCTCTCCAACTGTGGAGGGACAAGGATGACTTAATTACGAAAGACATCCCAATTCTTCTAAAGATTTCAAGATTTTCACCTCAAAAAATGAGTAAAACTTCGTTTGTTTTTAATACAATTCAAAGGGCTGATTGTTGCATCTTATACTTATTAGCAAACTTCAATAGAATTAGCACATTTAGTTTCCAATTTTAACCGTTCATCCTATTAAAGCGATTTGTAAATGAATCACTTCTCTTATATTTATGGATGGATTAAGTTAATTAAATTTTGAATATATATATACATACACAATTCTAAGAAAGTGATATTATATTTTCAATTTAAATTTGTTCTCTTTTCCTAAATGTGATGTTTGATCTATCTTTGTTTTTCATTTATATATTTTCTCTAACTGCGTCACTTGCTAAATTTTACTTTTCCCGCTTGCTTTAATTCGTTGATATTTGTTAATGCTATCCTGGTTTCGAATCACGATCAACGACAAACAAAGGTTTTATTTTGTATTTTTTCCTCCCTTTTCTTCCTGGTGATATGATTTTTGTATCATACAACATTGTCAGATCCACTTCAAATAGAATCACTTTAAATCTGTAATCTATTGTGAAAATGCGTATTAGTCATACTTGATTAAAACAGGTTTTTTCCCTTTTAATGAACGCAGTATTGATTATACTTGAAGTCAGATAAAATGACTCACAGAAAAGTTAATTTCAAAGCTTGAGATCATTTTCAGCTTTTATGTAAATTATTTCCCTTCTTTTTTATCTCTGACTATGAGAAAGGATATTCTAATAGGTGCGTATGTAATATATTCTCAATCAATTCACGCTTCCATATATCTACTACAAATGCAGATAGACAGTTCATATTTTTCTTCCTACGCCGATATTTAAAAAAAAAATGAAATTTTTTAATTACTTAAAATTTTAATTTTGTTAAACTTTTTCTCATAAGTGTTCATACCATTGAGTTGATATCCTTCATAATTTTTTAATAGTACGATAACATTTGTGGTGATATTTTTTTTATTTTAAAGACAAATAAATCTCCTAAAAAGCATTGGTTTAAAAAGATACTATGCGACTCGCAAATTCCTTGAAAGTATGATGCTTCGGTGATCGACATTGTATTGTATCCGTTCGTCCACTCCAAGCAAGTATTAAATGCTTTTATGGCTTTTCTGTATATATATATATATATATATATATATATATATATATATATAAGAAAGCATTGCATATGAGTGGACAATATCGTACAATTATATATATAAATAGATAGGCAAAACTCCTTCATTAACAAAACTATTTCGTAGTTATTTTCTTGCTGAAACGATTTGTTGATTATTCATTTTATTATTGGTATAAATGAAACAAAAGGTGAACCAAGAAGGCATAATAATGAATTAAACTACCTGAAGATTAATCCGAAACCAAATTTGTTCCTTAGCTTAAGTGAAAGTTAAGGACAAATAGAAATTTTTGAATCTGGAGACATAAATTTGTGTAAGCTTACGCACCTTCTCTATTGAGATAGCAATGGATTACTTTCATTTTTACTTTTGGTAACTGAACAAGATAAATAACTTCATAACGCAATATTTTTATAATGAAATTACTGTTTTATTTTTATTTCCTCCTTATTCACTTTTTATGTTTCTCACTAATCACGTCAAACTTTCTCCTCCTTTCTGCACCCCTTTGTTCTCTCGACAATGCGCGCCTGATCTTGAGGTCGCTGATCCATGGGTTAATTAGGAAAATGAGCTGTGACGGTGTCACTTTTCTTTTGCCGGAATTTCGTTGGTGCGAATATAATAAGTGAGTTGTTCCATTGTGTGCCGTTAGCGCATCGTGCGTAAGGGAACAATTTTCTTCAACGCGAGCAGAAAAAAAGAAAAGAATAAAAATCCGAAAATAATGCGATACTTGAAATATTGGTTGTAGTGCATTTAATATTACATCACCCGAATGAGAAAGATTACATTATTAAGAATATTATCATTGCTAAGGTTGTTAATTTTCAATTAAACTAAAGTCTTCTGATTTAAATTTATAATTATTTATAACATTTTCATTTTTATGAATGAACTCAGTAACGGTCACTTATAGATATTTTGAAAATGCTTAAAAAAGTAAATATATATATAAATATATATATATATATCGAGTTTCTTTATATCACTGAAAATAATAAATTTCTTCTGAAAGAAACTTATTTGGAAAACTCTGTTTTATCCTGCTGACCTCTATATATGCAATTTAGAAAACAAAAAATTTTTAACCAGAGCTTGTAACGGGAAAAAACATTTTTAAAACGTACCGTTATTATCGGAATTTTTACTAACGATAGTTGTTCAGTTCTTTTGGAACTAGAATTTTTCCCTTGCCACCTTTGAAGTAAAGGTTTTATAGAATTTTCATTTTTTTAAAAACTTTTATTTAAAAGTTTTGTCAATTTCTCTAAAAAGTCGATTTTAAAAATGACTTTTATTCATAGATACTCAAACAAACGACACATTAGAACCGTTTAATTCATTTAAGACAAATTATAATTCTGATCTAAGCCCAATTACTGTTTATTTTTCATTTGACGGTACTTTTTTAAAGAACTTTAATAAATAAAAGTAAAAATTTTACTATAAACCTGGAAAGTTATTACATAAAAGTTCCTCAGAACTTTTATTTTAAGTTGTTTTTTCCTAAAAATCTTGAACCTCTGCTTTTAACCCATCTTTATTGCAGTTAAAATATACGTTTCCCAGTTTCGGTAGATACTTCGTTTCACTTCTTATCACTTTTTTTCAGTGTTTTCTATCATAACTTTATACTACCATTTCAGTCGCCATGGACTTAAATCACTTCAATTATATTTTCTGAAGTTCGTTCCAGTTGATCGTACATGATTACCTTGTTAAATATCAACTGCATCACCTCCGGAAATATATGTTTTTACGTAAATATTGGATTTCTGTCTTATTCAACACGTCACTAATCGGTTATGGCGTCAGATAATCGGAAGTAATTGGAGATTTGAAGAAAACCGAGATATGTCCTGTTATCAGAAAAGTGTCAAGTGGATTGTCCCGTCTACTATCGCTGTGAGACCGGCCTTCTCCGATCTTAGCAGTCCAACTCAACGAATTAATGATTGTGCCTAACATTTCGGACCCAGTACATATCCCTCTATATCAAAATGATTGATTTATTTATATGCAGCTGTTGTTTAAAGTAAGTTAAAATTTAATATTATCAAATAAACTTTATATAATACTTTTACTTGTATGCATCTATGTCTATATTATCATTTAAAAATACTAATACTGTTTTATTGTTGTATACAATAGGTATATATATATTCTGTTGGTATATGTGTACATTTGATCATGTACCTCTTCATTGACAAAACTATTTTGTTGTTATTTTCTTGCGGAATCTATTTGCTGATTATTAATTTTATTATTGGCATAAATGAAACAAGAGGTGAAACCAAGGAGGCATAATAATTTTCTAGTTGTTTTGTTGTGTTTCTCTTGTTTCATTTCGTAATTCTTTTCTCTTTCTATTATATAATGTTCTGGTTCTACAAGTGTGTTAAGGATTTGTTCTCAACATATCTCATTATTTTATGTAATAGTTTCTAAATACATATATGAATCTCAGAACAAGAAGAGCTAATCTCCAAAATATTGAAATTCAAAAGAGTTGCAATAAAAAAATTAACAGGGTATTAATAATGCATTAATTGTTTTAGAGGTCAATGTTCTCCCATTATTAGTTCATCTTAAGAAGTACTAAGAATAGAGAGTAATAATTGTGTCCCTTCTAACTGTTAATATATACCTATCCTAATTATAAATAACACACATACCATATATATTATTTTATATAGTTTTATAAATAATAATGATACGAGTTATCTGATCTTTTTAATTTGTGATATCCATCTTATTTGTATACTTGTCTCCTCTATGTTTGATTGATTTCAACACTTTGTGTATTTACAATGTTTTTGATCAAGAAGGCATTTTATTAAGTAAAGGAGCATTTAGACATTCCACAAATCATGAGAAACAAAATTATCAAAGTTAACTAACAGCAACATTATTGCTAAACCCAAATTATTTATTTCATTTCTCTTGATACCAACAGCAGATGGAAAGTATCAAAAACAGCAAACGAAAATACTAGCATAGTGTAATAACCAGTTATATATTTGTTTGTTCCATAGTTTGCAAAATGTCTGAATGCACCTTAAAATTAATTTTCCAATAATGAGTTACAACTCTTACTCATATTGATGAAAGAAATCTCTGTTTGGTTGGAAGTAATTTTTTCGGTTTAGTTCAAAATTGGCTTAAAAACTTGTCTTGTTCAGGATGTCAGTATCTTCAGTTATTTTTAATAGTAACTTCTTCTTATCTGCTGCTTCCAAGGTACCAAGTGAGTTATCGGTTGCCTTAGAAAAATAATATTATAAGATCAGTTCTTTGAAAAAAGAAAGTTCTTTCACTTTTATTTTCAAAACTGCCGATGACACATGTATCCTATCAGTAAATAATGACCCAGCAATTGCATCCCAAATGCTCCAATCACACATCATAAATCTAGAAGAATGGTGTCAAAATTGGAGAATTAAAATAAACTCCAATAAATCCCACCAAATTACCTTTACCCTTCGTCGTAAACCAACAACTTCCTGTCCTTCAGTTTCCTTTAACAATACTCCACTTATCCCTGTTGAGCAAATCCGATACCTAGGACTCCACCTGGACAAACGACTAACTTGGAATCCTCATACTAGACTGAAACGACAAGAGACGGCTCGACGTTTCCGATTACTTCAGCACTTACTAGACAAACGTTCTAATCTTCCAATTAATTACAAAAGACTCATATACTTGACTATAATAAGGCCTATTTGGACTTACGGAGTTGAGCTATGGGGCTCCACTAAACCATCCATAATGACCTTAATGTTCCTTTTATTTCAGATCTGGCCCAATCCAGATACCTATCCTTCCATAATAAACTTCAGAATCATCCCAACCCTCTCGTTTCTAACCTTGCTTCCTCTTCAATTCCTGATAACCCTCCGAGGCGTCTGAAAAGAAGATGGCCCGTGATCTCCTAATGTAAACATATCATTAGAGTGCTACCATTGAGTAGTTACTCAGCAAGTGTTTTTCATGTCATTATATACATTATGTTCTAATTTACTAGATGTATTTATTTAATACAGTTGTAAATGTCTTTAAGAAATAAAAAAAATTAATTTAATTTAAATTAAATTTAAATTAAAATTAAAAACTAATTTTAAAAACATAAGTTGGAAGATCTAAAAGAGTTTGATATAATTTCATAAAATTAAGTAAAAACTAAGAAATAGCAGATTGTTAACAAATGGCCATCAGATTGTTAGAACTTGTATAAAAGCGAACTTACTATGTGTAGTAGTTCAAGAGTCAGTTAGTAACTGCTCAAAAACAAATTGCTTATTTTCAATCTTTTTCTGCCATAGGAAGATAAGTTATAAATAATCTCTTTCATATTATCAGAGAATTTTAGTGGTGTTCCAATAATTTTGTCTGAGAGTTTAAGAATTGTTTTACCCGATAATCTAAATATTTGAGATTATAAAGCTCCATTGTATTTCGTTAAATTTATTGTTGACTGTTATAGATCGGTGAGGGGTCTAAGAACATCACGCTCCCACGAGAGCCTGCTCAGCGGACAAAGTGCCATGCAATCACTGGACTTGAGCAGCGGTGGGGTGGAGATCAAGCCATTGCATCCTTCTGTCCTCGGTCGGGAGCATTGCTTCCAGGTGACCTTGCCGGCTGGGCAGCCTAGGTACTTCAGCTGCAGGACCGCTGAGGAAAGGGACAAATGGGTACACAGGTCAGTAGCTATCTAACTATAAATCAATCGATAAATACCTATCAATATACTTGACAAGCTGATCCTATAGTAATGATAATAATTTTCAATTAATAATACAACATCACTTCATGTTAAGTTAAAAACAAAGTTTAATCTCTTCATTATTTCCATATTTTTAAAAATTTAACAAATAATACTTATTAATTTAGATTCCTTTTTTATTTTGCTGTTTTTGTTTTTTCTTTATAAAATTTTTGATAATTTTGTAGCATTCAGTATCACTTTGGTAATCAAATTTTAAAATAAATAGAGGAGTACAACTGATACCTAATTTTGAAATATTTATGTAACACAAAATCCATTAGGCTATCTTTGAAGAATCATTAGTTATTGTCATGGAATTTTTATATTTTTAATTGGTATTGTCAAATTCTAAACACGATTTGTACTGATGATAGAATTTTTTATATTTATTTTGAGTGACTGGCTATTTTTCCAAATTTAAACAATTTGACTTGTATAAATTTCATAGCGTATTGTGTATAGCAACTATTTTGCAGTATTAGGACCTTATTGCTCATATTAAGTCTTCCTATATCTGTACAGTTATGTAAATACTTCTTTTATCCCTTATTTTTTTAGTTGTTTTTTTTTTTGTTTATTGTAATATACATTTTGGCCAGATGTAATGTTAATTTTATGTACAATATTGTTATTCTCAAGGGACCTAGTCCCAGAATAAAGTCGATTCTTCTATTCTATTCTATTCTATAATACTAAGTAAATATTCCCAGTGTTTCTTTATAAAAATGATTTCTTGTTCTGGTAATTATTTTTGGATTATATAAAATATTTATGAAGTACTAGTTTTGCACTTTTTGAAAAATAGTTTTGCATAAACATTTGAAGTGTGCAAATATTTTTTTTATTTGATTTTTCCTTCCCTGCTCCCCTCCCCCCAAAAAATAAAGAAGTGTCAAATAATGCAGGAAAAAAAAAAAAAAAATGAACAGTGTCATAAATATTTGTATTCTTGAATGAATATGATTCATCACAAAATTATTAATATTTAATGACCATCCTCTTGTCTTTAAATTAATCATTTTTGTCCAAATTGGTTTCAAGGTTTTTAATAATTTTCTGACTCCATTCCAGAGCTTTTGGAATGTATTAAATGAGCTAAAAATAATATTAGTTAATATTTTTTTAAATTATAAATCTTAACACTTAATGAACATTTCAATTTTTATTATGATTTCAAATAATTAAATAGTCTGTTGACCTATAAATTTAATTTTTTTTAAATAAAAATTATTGCACTATTAAAAAGACTTAATGAAATAAAAATGTACTTCATTTTATGATGGAATGTTATTTTATAATTTAATATATTAGTGAAGTAAATTTTATGGAGTATTAAATGTCATCTTTAATTATAGAATAAACTATAAAATATAGTTATTTCATGATAGTTTATCTTGAATATATTTGTAGAGTTTCTTCCATTGATGGTCTGTAAAAAAATAATATAAGAATAAATTTTAAAAGACAATAAATGTTTTCTTAAATTTTACAATTTAATTTATATTTATCACATAAAATATTAATGAAAATGATAGATTTTTGCATCGATATCATTTTACCATTGTAGCAATTAAATTTTTTCCTGTAAAACATCTTACTACTAACCACAAAAATGGTTTATGTAAATCAATTCCATTAGAATAGGCTATTTATAGAAGATAAAACAGATTGCATTAAAGATCCATTGAGAATTAGAGAGAGAGAGAGAGAGAGAGAGAGAGAGAGAGAGAGAGAGAGAGAGTAAACAGTTCTGCAATTGACTCACACTGTATCTGAGTAAGAGATAATAATGTCTCTTATCTCAGCCTGGGCTGGCCAATCACCAGCAGCCTAGCAATGGCTGCTTCAGTCTCCTTCCCGCTGTTGGTCAAGCTGGTTGTCTCTTGTGTGCTGTTCCCTCCTGTATAATGTTATGTCCACTGTCAACTTAAAAAGAAAGTTCTCGCTTAAGGTGAACTTCTTCAGTAGGCGTGTACCTAAGCCGGTTGAGAAAGAGAGGCCTCATAGTTGTTCTTGTGTTGAAGATTGGTAAGTTCAACTTCCCAATAAAGTGTCAAGTGGCTAGTAAACAATCAAAAGTAGTTATTGATTAAGTCACCATATCTCCATTGATTAATTTGTCACCTGCTATTTTTATAATCAATAAGTCTGTAAATTTATGATGCTATTAATTCAAACTTTTTCTGGATATATGTTTTTTATAAACGCATGTTTTTAATTCTAATTTTATGATGTCTTTTTCATTTCTCTACAAAATAGCATTAATATATCAATAGTCAATATATATATTTTTCTTATATGCTATTAATAAATTAAAAAAGAATAATTGTTTATGATTAAATTTTAAATGACCACTTATATTATTGCCAAATCAATCAATTCTCATCCTAATGAAAAGTTGTTGTTTATATTCTTATGATATAATCTTGTTGCTTTATATGTTTTTTTACTGTAAGGAGTAAACAGTTATGTTTTTAAAGATTTTTTCTCTTTTATTATAAAAAAAATCATTTTTAAATGTATAAAACATAAATTGTAACTGATTTCATTATTTTCATTGTTTTCTCTTTATTTCAGTTTGAGGAAATCTGTACAACCCGATCAAGAGCACCAAAGACGTACTGACAATTCCCTCAAAATATGGATTCTCGAAGCGAAAGGGATTGCTAATAAAAAGAGGTAAATAAAAATGTGTTTAAATTCATTTAAAATTTTCTGTTATCACAAAAGGGAGGGAAAGATGCATTTTTTTTTTTTTTTTTTGTATTGCTATTATTGAAGTAGAATTTTGAATAATATATACACACTAGTTATTTTGCTTGCAATTATGGAATAACAAATTTAAAAAAACAAAGTGATAATATTTGAAAGAATATTTATTATCATTTTACAGAGTGAATTAATTTGTCTTAAAACTTTTTTTTTGTTATATCATTCAGGTAACTCAACAGCTATTTGTTATTATTTTTATTATTGAGGAAAATAATTTCCCCTAAACGAGCAACACTTGAAGCTCTTCGAAATCTATCCTAAAATATTTTCTAATTATTTACGAAATGTCTTGTCAATTCTAAATTTCAGTACCCATTATTCACTATTTTCTATGAATGATCGTTCTATTAATATTAGTAATAAAAGATTTTTTCGCACAAGCACTTTTTGTCATTATTCTGTACTAAAATTTCAAATCTTGTTCCGATGTCATATTTATTTATCCATATGTTTTTAATAAAATAATTATCTTTAAATAAAACTGATTTTATTTTTAGTGTTCTGTACTATAGATTGATTAATTATGATATACTTATTCAAAAATATATGAAGAGAATCGGTAAGGATCGCCTGGGTAAAATTTCTGGATGCCGGGATTTCCCAGTAGTAGTTCTATAAGTAATCCTTTGGAGGGTGCCAGAAGGTTGGAACTCCACATGATTCAGTTGTATTTCCGTGTAAATCTTAACTTAGATTTATAATGTTTAGATTCAAAGCTCTAGTCCTTGAAACATATTCTAAAAAAATTTAATCTTTATTGATAAACAATTTATTTCATTCACAGGTAAAATGATTTATTTGAAATACCCTCTTGTATTGAAGTAAATTCAAATTCTATATATTTTTTTAATTTTTATTTTATTCATCTTTTTTTTTCTATTACTATCTTTATCATTTTAAATTATAATTACTTTATTTACTAATATTTTATTTTTATTTTGCTACTAATTCACTTAATTTAATCAAATTTTTAAATCATGAAACGTTTTTAAAAAATATTTTATGTTTTAATTTTTTAAAGTATTATTATTATTTCTTATTATTATTTTAAATTTATGTTTGCTAGATAGATTTATAGTTACATCTAAATTTTATGTCATAAACTCAATGAGCGAGACTTATAGATCATTAAATCATTGTTAAACGATTTATATGCTTTGTTCTTTTCCCTAGGTATTTTTGCGAATTGTGTTTAGACAAAACACTTTACGCAAGGACATCAGGTAAACAGAAAAATGACCTATGCTTTTGGGGAGAACAGTTCGACTTCTTCAACCTTCCTACAGTAAACGTAATCAACATAAATCTGTACAGGGAAGCAGATAGGAAGAAGAAGAGAGAAAAGAATGTTTTAATTGGTAAGTATTGTTTAATTATTTTTATTTAATAAATTAATATTCACAATTCCACCCAAGTTCTATACCTTCATCTCGGTGACGAGTATTAAATTTCGGACCAAGAAATGTGGATAACCACTAGGATCAATATGATAAAATAATAATTAAGTGTTCACAACAATTTTTTTTAGAATAGTTAGTTAGCTCATATTAATTAAGAGTGAACCATTTCCTGCCAAAAATATCAAGAATATAGTAGGGAATATTATATATTTTTTTTAAAAAAGAGGTTGATCTTTATGTCCCCTTAAAATGGGCAACGTAAATAAGGAAATGGACAATGCAGTTAGAATAATTTTTAAAGTAAAAATTAAAGTTATTTAATTTATTTTTTAAACTGAATGATAAGTTAAAATGTTTGGATTTTATTTGGTAATTAGTGGATTTTGACAATGATTAAGTAGATTCTTCCATTTCCTGTTATGTTATCTTGTTATACCTTATCTCTGATTCATTCCAATTATAGTGGATAGTGTGTTATTTCATTAACACTTCTGTCTTTAGGTTTAAAAAAAATATGTACATATATATCCACAGTCCTAATATTTCCCCTAAATGTAAATTATTTGCCTTAAAATATATATTTCTAAATTTTTATTATTATTTAAGAAATAAATGTGATAATCTATGGATAAAAAAGATACGCTAGCAATAGAGGTTTTAGGAGGAAAGACATTAAAACATAAACCAATAAAATTCATAAACAAGAAATATTAATAATTGTCAATTGTGTTTATTACCTTTACCAAATTAAGTATAAATTATAACATTTCTTAATGATTAATAGGCATAATAATAAAATTAATAAGTATAAAGTAAATTGTATTATGTGTAATCTATAATCTTAATCTATGACCAATGACATTTTTAATGGAACCAAGTCTGTCTTGCATAGGGGAAATAATAATTTATACATTAGAAGTTCTAACACCTGAGAATTCAAGTAAATAATTAATATATCATCGTGCTTTGTGATAATCAATGAGTTAACAATTATTATGTTCATTTGTCTTTTTTATTTTTTTAGTGATATCGATTGCATAATTTATAGTTGTTGTTTATATTTTGCACTTCTAATTGTCTAGGTTGTGTAAGTATCCCAGTCCATGAGGTAACATCTCGCTACCTCACAGAGAAGTGGTATCCAATTGTGAGTGAGAAACCAACAAAAGAGTCGCCTGCCCTCAGGGTGAAATGCAGATTTCAGACAGTGGACATACTCCCTGTCCAAGTTTATCAGGAATTCCTACAGGTCAGTTTTATCACAGCTATTGGTAAAAATAACTGTTAAGCAATCAGAAATAAATCATTAGTTTCCTTTTATTCAAAAGATTCTGTTAGATATAAGTTGAACAATGTTATATTGAGCTGCCAATTATAATTTTATTATTTTCATTTGCTAAGTTGCCAATAATATTTTGGTAGAAGGCGGCTAACACATTTCATATCTTAATAGTAATTATGTAAACTCACACTGTTGCAAAAGAATTTTATTTATTTTTTTAAAGAAAGAATATAACATATCAGTTTTAATTAAACATATTAGTTTAAAATATATTTAATGTTCCAATATATATATAAATATATATTTATTTTTTAAACCTGTTCAACCCTGTTATTTTTTGTTATTTTTCCAACCTGTTACAACTTGTTGGCCTCCCCTAATTAAGGGGGTATTATGGTCTAACTTCCTGAGGGGACCGGCCGTAGTGAGAAGTAGGGTCGGGATTTGATACTATGATCTTTGCTTTACTAGTATAGGGCGCTAACCACTCTGTTATACCGGCCCCATTTCAATATATTATTCATTATCAATATTTTAATTTTCAAATCTTTCTCTATTTCAGTACCTGAAGAGCGACTATAAGGGTATTTGTGAAGTGCTGGAGCCAGTTATTAGTGTAAAAGCTAAAGAAGACATTGCCACTGCTCTTGTTCACGTGATGCAGCGAGAAGGATTAGCCAAGCAGTTCCTGGCGGACATAGTTATGATGGACATCGATAGGATAGGTAAATATTGTCATAAAAAACATTCTTCATATAAATTAATTAAAGATACTGTGTTCGAATGCCTCTTAAAATTATAATATAATGCTTGTAACAAGAAGGATACAAGATAATGAAACAATTTTAAAAGTAATTACTTAATAATTAAATGTGATATTACTTTATTGTTGAAATTGATCACTTATTAGAATATATTAGAGTATAGATCACTTATAAGCTTCTCTTTTATGATTTTAGAAGACGAACGACTAACATTTAGGGGTAATTCCCTTGCGACAAAGGCTATGGAAGCCTACCTCAAACTAACAGGAGAAAGGTATTTACACAGTACCTTGGGTGACCTTTTGACTTCCATGCTGGCTTCAGGTATCGACTGTGAGGTGGATCCTCTCAAAGTCGGCAGTACTATTGCACTGGCCAAACAACAAGCTAATTTGCGAAATACTGTCGAGACCACTTGGGCAAGAATACTCTCATCTCATACATCTTTTCCTTCGTGAGTCCTTATCTCTGAGCATTTTATTGTTAGCTATAATTTAAGTTTCAAAGTTGCTCTGTTGTAATTGCTTACAGTAGTTGATGTATTCAGTTTTATTTTTTACACTGCTATAATATCATCATGTAATTCAACTACCATCATGCTAACAACTAAGATTTAAAAAGATGTAATTAATGATTGCAGAGAACTTCGTGAATGTTTCTGCCTCATGCGAGAGAGACTGGTATCTTCTGGGAGACAGGACATCTGCGATAACCTTATTTCTGCTTGCATCTTCCTCAGGTTTCTCTGCCCTGCCATCCTCTCTCCTAGTCTTTTCAACATCACACATGGTAATTCATTTTCATTAGTTTCATTTTAATTTAAATATCTTACTAAATGTTTACAAATCTGTAGCAGATAATAGCGCATTATGCTGCTTCAAGAATTAGAACAAATAACAGACATCATTATGAGTTTTATCAAAATTTGTTTTTATCTTACACAGTATTAAATGAAAATAAGCTTAAGTCGATCTTGGTTTTTGTTCAGAAATTGAATAGTTTGCAATTGTACTTAAATGATTGATATATGTATGTTCTTGATATATCATTGAAGTACATTTACAAAATATTTATTTTCTAACCATAAAACAAAATAGATTTTCTCTATTCTTACTCTAAACCCCTCAAATGATCTTTTATATATTTCTGTTCTTTACTTATGCTAATTTTATTTATTTTAATTACTAGAATACCCCAATGAAAAGGCAGCAAGGAACTTGACCCTAGTTGCAAAGACTCTGCAAACTTTAGCAAATTTTACCAAGTTTCAAGGAAAAGAAAATTTTATGGAATTTATGAATGACTTTCTTGAAAGAGAAGCATCAGCCATGAAGGACTTTTTGAATATAATATCGGTAAGTATAAATAATGTTTATCTTAAAACTTGCACTTTTTACTTCAAAAATCAGTTATTTCAACATATTTTTAAAATACATAGTTAACGACAGTGTGTGTATGGTTTTTTAGAGGCCTTATCAAAGTTTATAACAAACCATTAGATATTTTGGAAATAGTTCATAATGTTTAGTTAAAATGGCCATATTTAATTTTAAGGTTTATACTTTAAATCTAAAGCACTCTAGAATGATTGTATTATATTTAAGCAGAGTGCACCTCAGAAGGAGTTTTACAACCCCACTCCAGGAGGAGACTTTGATGGTTACATAGACTTGGGGAAACAGCTGTCAATACTCCATGCACTACTCCAAGAGTGCGTTGCAAAGGTAGCGCAACAAAGGCTCCAGGACGTCCAAGAACTGCACTATATTTTAGAGCGTGTGAGGCTTGCTCTTAGTCAGCCCTCTGGTCTTTTGCGCCAGGTCAGTGCTCCGGAACCGTCAACGAACTCTCCCTCCAGTGCTGCCTACCAATCATTACACAGGAACATATTCAGGTTAGTCACCAAACAGAAACAATTTCTCTTTGGATACTTAATTTTTTATTGTAGATGTTTTGTCAGTTTTTTTTTAATGAGATTTAAATGGTTGGTGATATGGAAAACCTGAGCCTATTTCAACATGTTTGGAATTATTGTTGGGGATACATCTGACTTTGTAATATTAAGTTCTCTCATCAACCAAAAGATCTAGTTTTAAATAAATTTTCTTTATCAACATCAATTAGGATAAGGCATAGGTGGAGAAGCTTTTTTATCATTATTGGCCACAGTAAGATAAGGCAGTTCAAAAAGTTTTTACATTTCACTGTTACCATTTTTTTTATCACTAAATACACACATCAATATTCAAATTTTCAACTTATTCTATTAATTTTCAAATTTTTGTAATCCAAATAATGGAATACTAATTAATTTTAGGACTTGATTAATAAATATCGTTTAAAAACGTTTGGAAACCGTAGGTTCCCCACCATAAGGTTTTAAAATTTTAATATGCTCACTTAAAAATTTGTGTAGGGTTTTCTTATTATGAGTTCTTAAGATTTACTTAATTATTTATGAATTGAATTTCTCTAACATATAAACTTAAAGATGAAAAATACTATAAATGGATTTTCACAATAAGTTTTCAATAAATTGTCATTACCTTAAAATTATTCCACAAATCTATTTTGTTGTTGTTATATATTTTATCACACACCTATTGTTTCGTTTAGGTATAATGACCCTACTGCTGGATCTCAGAGTGAAACGAAATCTCCGACAGTTGGTCGTGCCTCAACACTGCCTAGGAACGCCTACCTACCCTCTGGCACTAGCCTCTCCAGTAACCCTGTTCCTGACTCTGAAGGGACGACGGTCTTCAACAGCCCAGCGAAGCAACAACCTGTAAATTCCCTCTTATATTATCTGACAAAAGTACTCTCATTTTATATTTTTTTACTATTAAATCTTTTTAGTTGAATATCTTTTTTCTTTTTTCTTCTTATATTTTTTTTAATATCCTTTCTTATTTTATTTTATTGTTCTTACTTTTTATTTCAAAACATCTAAAATATATGTTAATTTATTTATTTTTTTAAATAAGTCTTTTGTTCTTTCTACTTTCCAATATCAATCTTCCTTAAAAATTCTATTGCTTTAAATTTACATTATTATTTTCTAAAGCAAAAAAATGACCTTAATATGAAACCTCTGCTAATGAACTGTGATTTGCTTTTTGTATTATGTTATGTTACATGTTTTGTAAATGTCATGTATTGTAAATAGAATATTATAACTTCTTTATCAGCTTTGAAATAATTGCAGTATGAAAGGCTGTTTCATACTTTTTTTTTTTTAAGTTTTGCTTTTAATGCAATGCAAATAATAAACAAGAAAAGTCATGTATTGCGACCCCAATTGCAAAACCTCTTTACTACATAAAACTCCTAATTAGTTGAATAATAGGTTTCAGTATTAGGGACGCAATAAATGTCCATTTTCTACCTCTTAAAAAAATTTGTTTACTTGCATTATATTTTTCATTTTTAAAAATTATAAGATTCCTGTAAAACCACCATTGTCTAGTTTGTTTCAATTTTTCTTCTTTTTATTTGTCCAAAAAACTCACTAAAGTAATTTTCCTTATATATTTATTCCAACCGAAATATACTACGAAATGAGAATTTAAATTCTCTTATATTTTCTTAGATAATTTTGGTTAATGTATTTCTCATATATAAAACATTGCAGTGGTGTTTTAAATTTTTAAGACACTTCACTTTGTATGTACTGGATTCCTATCAGAGAGAAAGCTAAGAGTTTTTTAATTAGAAGGTAGAAATAATTTACTATCCAAAAATATCACATTAATTATTTTTAACAGTTTTTTTAATTAACATTATTCGATATGGATAAGATTTAATCATTGGTTATAAATTGCCTATGTTTGATGTCAATTTAGTTGTTAAATGACGAATCAAAAGCTACTAAATCAAATATGGCATTGTTGAATCCATAATTGAATGATGGCCAAACTGTTATAAGTCCATTTTGACCAATGAAATATTAAACCTCTTTACCTAGATTGCTTAATTGATGGTGGTTGAATACATACAATAAAAATACAAGATAGTGAAATTTTAAAATCATGCACTAACAATTTTAAAATATTCTCCATGAAATTGGTAAATTGTCTTTTATTTTAAAGTTAATTGAAAGAACACATAGAAAGATTTTTATTTCAAACATATTGTGGTTGCCATTGAGAAATAATTTCTAATTCTAAAAATTCATTTATGGAAGAAAAATCCTATGAAGTTGATCTAAAATGATACAAGAGAAATGCAATGATTTGAAAACAGTTACCTTAGTTACGGACATTCCTAAAGAGGAGGAAAACAAGCTTTATATAAATTTTCTAGTCTTCAGATTTATACTTTTTATTTTTTAAATAAGTTTGTATACTATATTTATTTTAAAGGAAATATTAATAATATTCTATTTCTTTTAAGTATACGTTTATTATTTGAATAACGGCAATGTAATTGTCATTCTCATGGTATCTGAAATAAATATGCAACAGAAACATTACATTTTCTGTGGGTCTATGTTGAAATATTTCCACAAATTATTAGAATACAATATTTTAAGAATATTAAGACACAAATTTTGTTTTCCTTATTTTTGAAAATTAAAAAAACAATTGTTTTATAGATTTTGTTCTTTGAAAAAATATTTCATTGTAATGGTGTTGTAAAGCTAATTGCAATGATATAGTAAAGCTAATACAAGTCTTATTGAATTCAATAAGTCTAGTTATGTGGGTGGACCAGAAAATACTGTCCCACGATTACGAAGTGAAGACATTCATTAATCTAGTTCGATCTAATGATCTAAGCAGCAGGATGCTCACTAATTTATTATAACATGAATCATATTTTCTGTACACAAAATAAAGTTTTGCTGAAGAAATCTCAAAAGTATTTAAAAATGGATCTGTCCAAACTTCCTTCAATTTATACAAAATCAATAATTTGGACTTATGATAGTTAGGCTCTCAGGTTTCGATTTATTTCAATAATTCTAGTCTTTACCCGTATCGTTTGTTTCTATAATTCACAATTTCTTGCTATTTCGCCATTACAAAAAACTTACAATTAATACAACTATTGGTTATATGTCGGTAAATATCAATCTTGTTCTGAATTTTCTGTAATAAAACTTAAGAAATAATTTTAATTTCACAAATCAAACTGTTTTTAATGAAATTAATTAATAAATATTAATTAAAGTCTTCAGTCACCTTCTCACTCTTTAGCTGCCTCTTAACTATATCTATTTAAAATACTTTGGAAATTGTTTAAATTTCATTATTTTGTAAGAATAGCCTTTGAAAATAAATATGTGGTTGCAGCAGCGACCACCGGCAGGTGGTAGGCCCTGTGGTGGTGGCCTCAATGGTCACGGTATGGATGACCTGTCCGACTGCGAGCTAGACCCGCAGCACAAAGGCAGCCAAGTGTCCATCTCTACTCTCTCTAATGTCGCTTCTTCAGGGTAATTTTCCTTAAACTCTTATAAGATATAAAAACTACCCCTTAGTATCTCTAAATAAAACTTGTTATTACTGTTTTAAACTGGTAATTATATTTAGTCAACTATTATTGAAAGTCTGCCTGTATTTTCAAATATTAATATTTAAATTCTATAACATCTATTTATAATATTTCCCTTTTTATCTTATCTCTTATAAATTTTTCTTTTCTTAAAATTATCTATTTGACTGCATTGGTGTGTGTCTCTTTTTTCTATTTGTTTGTGCTTCATATTTCAATTATTTATCACTAATTCATAAAACTCATCTTTAAATTCTTTCCTTGTTTGTGAGGCTTACTAATCTCTCCTTGTTTTTATAATTTTTTTAATACTCTTCTTATTTGTCTCTATTATTTATGATGTCTCCACCAACTGGGATATTCAATAGTTTTCTTCTCTTGTTTTTTCTATTTTACGTTTACTGTACATTTTAACTAAGGAATGAAAAATAACATTTTATTTATGATAGTACAAAATCCATGTACTTTAATATTACTCTAAACTTTGAATACACTCTTGAATTTTCCCTCTGTCTTGGTTGATGGTCTTCTAATATTTGTAGTTTGGAATGGATATTGTCTCTGGCTTAAAGATAATCCTTTGTCTATTCATTGTTTGCTCAATGTTAATCTTATTTCTTTTCTAAACATTCTTAAATCTTATACTTAATTTATTTTATTATTTACTAGGTATCAGAGTTTTGCTGCCTACAGTCAGAGTTCTAGTCCTGTTGATCTAACAACAAATGGAAACCAAGGAGCTCAGGGAGTAACAAATAACAACCAGAACACAACAGCCAATAACAATAACAATAACCTGACCGTAGCTACATCAGGAGCTCTTGCATTTGCCAATCCAGTGTACCAGAGGAGGGTAACACGCAGCCCCTCGACTAGTTCAGAAGAACAGGCTGATCAGGGACCAAGGCTGCCCAGGGCTACAGTCAATGGCGCGTCATCTCGACAAGTGTGGCGCTCCAATGTCGCTACTAACATACAAATCAACCACCCACCATCTAACAGGCATTTCCCTAACAACAACCCACCTTCTTCAATCGGTAACTTTGCTTAAATACTCTTAGTATGAACTTTAAAAAGTTGAACATTTAGTTTGAATATTTTTACATATTTTAATTAGATTTATTTTTATAAGCTTTTTTTTTTTAATTTACAGCATCAGGTACTCCGAGGAGGATGTCACTTGACTCAACAAGGGATCTTTCAGACTCCTCAGATGAAGAAACCTGTCGTGGACGGAGAACAAAACTGAAAAATAATCATAACAACGACCAAGCCATGCGGAAGGTAGTCCTATTAAATTAGTGCTCAATTATTTGTTGACCCTTTGTTCAGTTTTTTTCAAATCTTCTTTTATTTTGAGCAGTACGAATGGGAAATCGAGAGGTTGCAAGCTAGCGTCGAGATGTTGAAACTGAAGCTAGAAGCTGCTGAGCTGACTGCTGCTGTGGAATCAACTGAGTCTGCTCCTCCTCCGCGTAGGGATGAGTCTTCTTCTGACAACATGAAAGGGATTATATCCAGGTTTGTAGATGTAATTGCTAGTCACTGTAAAACATTTAATTTAAAACTGGTCTAAAAAAAATGTGAAAAACAACTTTTCTATTTTTAATGAATGATGCTTGAATTAGTGGGATGTTTAACGGGTTCGACAAAGAGAGATGAAAAGAAATTTGCTTAAACTAATGGCAGTTTTATCTGCCTTTGAAATTCAATTTTTAAAATTATTTTTATTTTTAAAAAAACTTAAAATAAATTAACTTGAATCCTTTAACGATGGTTTACTGTGAACATGCAATATATAAGATTAAATATATATATTTTCACTTATATATATATAAGGATAAAACCTTGTAATCAAATTTATATGTTAGAATAACAATATAGGATAACATTTATATATCAAAAACAAAAAAATACATAAACTATGCATCTAGATTTGTTTAGTTAGTTGAAATATTGGAAACATTGAAATGTTAGAAAAATATTTCTTCTGTTCATTTATCCTAATTTTGGTGTCTTGAAGTATTATTTTTTACAATAAATTAGGCCAATTATCACCAACATTTTATTGATTCGCATTAATTTTGATGTTCCGACCATACTAAGGGTCATTTTCAAATCTTGATGAGTCCTCCGTTATATGTTCATCATTAATGTCGTACATATAACGGAGGACTCATCAAGATTTGAAAATGACCCTTAGTATGGTCAAAACGTCAAAATTAATGCGTATCAATAAAATGTTGGTGATAATTGGCCTAATTTATTGTAAAAAAGAAAAGTATTCTGTCTCAGGAGAATATCTGTCTTCTCAAGGTCACCATCTATATAGAATACCTCACTTCTCTCTTCAAATGTTTAAATAAAAGAGTTATTTTTTAACAAATAAAAATGAATTCCTAAAATTTTACAATATAAAGTTTTATTATTTTGACACACCGTAATTTAGTCAGGACAGAACAATCTAAGTTTTCTTCATAGGTCTTATAAGAATCAAAAGGAGATTGCCAAAGTAGTAGGCATATTATTAAACATAATAGAAACTTCTTTCCAATAAAGCAATGGTATCAATCATCAATTTTAAGTACTTATTGAATGGAGTGGACTGGATATGTATAATTTTATTACATTCATGCATGACATGATGACAAACTTTATCTTATGATTGTGGATTTCCATGTGTAGGCTGATGGCTGTGGAGGAGGAACTGAGACGGGAGCAAAGGAAGATGTCGGATACTTTAAGCCATAAGCAGCGGGTCATCGAAGCGCAAGAGCACAGGATAGCCGCCCTCGATGCTACAAACAACAGGCTTTTAACCGCCCTCGCCCAGCTTAAGGAGCGCTACCAAGCCGCCGAGAGCTTGGCTTCCCCTTCCCAGCGGCTTCTCTCCAGTCTCACCGAGCTCCAAAGCTCTTCATGTTGAGCAATTTCTCTTCTTCAGTATTTGTGTTACCTTACCTCCCTGTTTACTTAGAGTTGAAGATATATTTTTATCTTAGTAATAGTATGAGGCGCACAATGCCTTCGTAGAGCTTATACCTTATCTAGGCTGTTTCAAGTTTGTTAAAGAATTGCAATTAATAATGGTGTTTACAATCCAACAGTATTTTTCTCAATTATGTAGCTATAGTAAGTTTCTGACATTGGACCAATACTTTTTAATATGCTTTCATTTGTCATACCAGAATAATTATTTTATTATGGAGCCAATAATTAAAAAATTCTAGTCTCTAATATGTACATCAGCTGTATTATTAAAATACTGCAAACTACCCTTCTACAATTTGTTTAGTTGAAACATGGAACATATTTTATTTATTTTTTTTTTATATTTCAATACATATAGTAAAATATCTAAATAATCTATTAAAAAGGCACCATTTGTGTTCAAATTCTTCAACATATCTTGGGCAGTTTTTAATTGTGAATTTTATTTAAATTAGATTTTGTTAATAAAACTTATTAAATTGCAAGTGTGACCAAAAATTGTCTTATAATAACGAGATCTATTTACATTTGTCTTTTTCTTTTTTTTTAAATAGCAGTATTAAAACTTTACGTGATATAGAATCATAGATTATTTATTAGTATCTAATTTTTCAATGGATCTGATCCGTTTTGTGTCAGGAATGGTGCACAAACCTAATTGTTAAATTATCTTCGTTTTACAATCAAATTTAAGCAGTAGATATTAAGTATAACTATTTCTCTTTTTATCTATTAAGATTTTAATTTATTACCATGTGTAGTATTTACAAGTTGTAGTTAGAAACTAAAAAGGAACTTGCTAGATTGGTAACTGGTTTGATTTTGGTGAAGTTCAAAGTTTATTAGTAAGGTGACCAATCACCTTTAATCACCAAACTTTAGCATTCTTGTTGGATTTGTTAATTAAAAACAACGGTGGATTTGTTTTGTTATATTGACTCTTTGTTGTATATAGATAACTTGTAACTGTAAATGTAGTATTGTTTTATGTCATTAACCAATATGCATATATGTATATCCATTCCCCATTGTGTAAAATTAATGTTTTATTTGTATATTTTTCATTTTAAAATATCTTTATTTTTCACCAATGAACACTAGTTGTTTTTATTTATGTATATACGTATATATAAATGATTATTGTGTATTATTATAAAACCAAAAAAGGAAAAAAAAAAAAAACCCTTGTACATTTAATTATTATTTATGTTGTATTATTAATAATATATATTCATTCTATTTCATCTTTAAGAAAGTAGAAACCAAAGATTAGCTTTTTTATGTTAAAGATTTATGAAATGCTAAGAAAATATTATTTGCCTACCCTATTGAGTACAAATGATCACTTCAAGCAGAAAATTCGTTTTTCTCTTCTTTTTTTTTTTGTAATTGTCATTTAAAATTAGTTTTATGTACCGATTAAATAAAAACTATGGCCATAATAAATATATTTTTTAATACCTTACTTATTTTTATTTTATATACCATTTATGGTGAATTAGTAAATTCATATTATTATAAAGCACAACTGAAAAATTAATAGTAATGCAGCTATGTTCCATCAATTAGTGAGTAATTAAGGTTTAAAATGATTCTGTAGGAATCCTTAATATTTCTGAACCATTAGCTCGATGCACAAACGAAATAGAAATCCAAATTATTGCAATCACATCTTATTTATTGCAATAAAGATTGCCATGCAAGAGAAGAATAAAAAGTAATTATATAAATTGATTGCTTTCTCTGATAAAGCAACTCTTAGTTAAAAAAAAATTTTAATTAATAATTAAAAATTTTCCAACTTTTATCATCATCTTGTTTATTATCATTACACAAAAGTAGAAAAATCATTCATTTTGGAGTTGTGCTTTCTAATAAAACAGTATTATACAAATGTGTCTATACATAATTTGTTCTAAGATTACTTAACTAGCTAGTGGTGTTGGTTAGAGACAATGAGCATTCAATAGGATCCCAGTAGAAACAGCGAGTAAATTTTATTGTTCTGAATACTTAGTATATCGATAAAAAATACAATGTGAAAATAAGAGAGAGTCATACTAGCTTCCACAACTCTCTAAACTCAATGTTCATTATAAAGAAATCGAACAAAAAATAATTACATACAACAATAATAAAAATATGTTAAATGGATTATTGGATTATATAAAGTGCCACTTCTAGTTTGCCGATTTTGATGAAAAAGTTGTGGTAGCACTTCAGGCGTATAGAAACCTTAAATAAGCGATATCAGTTTTGTACAACTTTTAATTTTTAAGCTACACTGTTCTCACACACACATTCATGGACCATTTTGCGGGACTTGGTTATGTGGACTCAGGAACTCATTTAAAACATGTATTTTCATTGAAAACTCAGATTCAAAAATTTTCATAATCACAACATTTACCCTTATTATATAGTACATGTATAGGTAAATGGAAGTAAAGCTTATGTAAATTAAAAAAATAAGACGTAATGAGTAAATGTATGAATATTAACAAATTAGTGGTATGGATATGGAAAAGAAAGTAACAAGAAAAAAGGTAAATGAGAAGAAAACTAAACTAAAAGATAAATAGAAGACCAACTTATTGTCCTTATGAAAGGCTCCATAAGACAAGATTTTACAGAAAAGAAACCAGTAGAACTAACTAGTGCAGTTTGCAACGGTTAACCGAAATAGTGAACTAAAGCACAGAATACATTAGTATGAATCCTGAGGGAGAATAAGAATTACTTAGTTGGAAGGAATTAGTAGAAGAGTTATGTGTGATCTGCATACCAAAAGTCACAGAGGCACTTTCATCAAAACACCGAAATTAATAGCCGCGTTTAAGAAAAAGAAGAAGAATGTTTTGTAATCATTCGGAACTAAACAATAAATAAAATTTAACAATTAATTAATGGTCATTATAAAAGAAGGTACTTACCTATTTATAAATTTTATTTGCTAACTTTTGTTAAATGTTTTAATTTAAATTTTTAAAAAATATATTTTATCAGTTAAGTACCTCTTTTATTTGAGAGATTTGATTGAAAGTTTATATGATCCGAAACACATCTAAAATATAAATTCTATTTGCATCAAAACCTCAAATTTAATTATTTAAATTATGGAAGAAAGTTAGTCGACAGTTCTATATATCATGGGTGATAAATATTCAGGACGCAGTACTCTATACTTGGACACCCTCAGTGCTCAAACCACGCCCTGAAGATGACCCACATGTTTGGGTTGAAACGTTGGCATAAAAAAAAATTAAATTAAAAAAAAAAAAAAGACTGCATTCTGAATATTTATCAGCCATGATATCTAAATTATGCTGTCTGTCTTCTATAATTTAATTTTTATTTCTTTTGTATCTAAAATACTGATAATATTTCAAGGACTATTTATTTAAGATATTTATGATGGTGTATAAATATTTTATTTTCCTTGATTCGTCAAAATGTGCCACCACGTGATTTAAGTAGTTTCAGTACTTCAGTTCGTTGGTATAATTTTGCCAGGTAGGACGGAGTCCAACCATCATTATCTTTGGCATTGACATTAGCACCAAATTCCAATAATTGAAGAGAGGTATCATAGTGTCCATTCATAGCAGCAACATGTAGAGGAGTCCATCCAGCCCAGCTTATTTCTTTTATAAAACCTCCTCCATGTTCATAAAGCCATTTGATGGTTTCTGTTTGGCCGGAGAGTGCTGCCCTGTGAAATGGTGTATAACCAAACAAATCTTTCCTTGATAAGTCACCTCCCCAAGACACAAGCATTTCCAGGAGTTCAATATTTCCTGATGCTGCTGCCAGGTGTGTTGGAAATTGGCCTTGTCTGTCAGTAAAATCCATTGAAGCCCCTTGTCTTAACAGTGATCGGACCAATGATAAATTCCCTTCTCTCAAAGCTAAATGCATAGGGTTTCTTCGCGATCGCTTCTTGCTGAACACCTTTTTATTTAATTCTTCTGGTGGTGTCATTAACCCTATGAAACCCAAGATCTTCTGAGTGTCATCGGAAGCAGGCATCTATGAATGCAAAGAATCATTAACAGTTAAAAAAATGAAATCTGAAATAAGAATAATTACTAATGTCTTTTTTTTTATTCCTTAATGACATTTACAACTGTATTAAATAATACATCTAGTAAATTTGGGCATAATGGATATAATGACATGAAAACACTTGCTGAGTAACTACGCAATGGTAGCACTCTAAATTACTAATGTCAAATTTAAAATGGTAAAATAAAACAAGCATATAACTTACAAGGGTAGGTTTTGGAGGTGGGGTAACTGATTTCAATGAAACTGCTTTTGGTGATACTAGGTCAAAAAATATTGGAACCATGTCCTTTTGGCAATGGAATCTAAGATCTGAGAAAAAAAATTTATATAATTTAATGCAACATTTATGTAATTAATTTTTGCTTTGAATGGATTTTTGGGTTATTAATTATTTCAATCAAATTCTTTTTTTTTTTTGTGCATAGAATAAGAAAAAAAAATATTGACTATGGCATTAAATGATTTATATCTTAATTAAGGACTTAATTATCTTGATGAAGTATCTTAATTAACAAAAACCAAAAGGTGCTTTCAGTAAAGTAGGTCAACTAAATTTTTGTTACGAAAAGGAAAGTTAGATTCATTTTTAGTGGTCCTTAAATACAATTTTTTATCAAAAACAAAATTTCAAATTTTAGTTCATAATTTTCTTAGAGAATTGTTTTTCCAGACATTAACTAAGCCTCCATAACTTCTTGAAATTTCCTCCAAGTTTGTACTATTTCGTAAAGTAACTAATATTTTTTTTAATGAGAAACAAAGTTAATATTCGTTTTTTCCATTTCAGAAAACCCTCAGAATAAATTTTAAAGCAATCAGAAAATTAAAATTTTCAGCACAAATTTTGGCTTAGGCTGCCTACTCTACGAAATTTTGTTGACAATTACAAAAAATAATGATAACTTCACCATTTTTCCATCGATACACACAGAAATTATTAGGTATGTAGTGCTCTATATGTTACACAAACTCGAAACTCCTTACATTAAAATTACAACCAAAGATATAAAATAAAAATTTTGGAGAAATTTTTCTGAATTTCTAGCTTAAAATGGAATGAAATCTAAAACTCATTGAGGTGGTTTGGAAGAGTATTAATCAGTTTTCTAACTAGCATTGAATCTGGAGAAATTCATGAGAAGTTGAGAATGCTTTAGTTAACGTCCGGAAAACAATCCCCTAAGATAAGTATGTACTAAAATTTGAAATTTTTGTTTTCAATAAAAATTTGTATTTAAGGGTTTTAAAGAACGCTAAAAATGAATCTTTCTTTCTCATAGCAAAAATTTACTTGGCCTCTTTACTGAAAGCGCCTTTTGGTTAACTATGGTACTTTATAAATAGTCAATATTTTTTTCTTATTTTGCACAAACAGAAATCAATTGATGAATAATAACCTAAAAATCTGTGCAAAGCAAAGGCAAAAACGCTGCAAATTATTTCACAATGGTTTATTATTTCCAAACAATTATACATCTAACTTAACATTACCTTCCGAGTTATAAAGAAAAACAAAACAAAAGGTAATTCAAATTATTGGACTAAACTGTTTTTCTTTAATCATTAGTAATATAAAAAAATAGTAATAGTTCAGTAACACATTTAAAATTTAAAAACCAAACCAAGGATATAACATTTGGAGTAGAACACATAAAAAAAAAACCGGAGACCATATCTTTGCTACTAATTGTCCAATTTTAACGATTTTTTTTTTTTTTTTTTTAGAAAATTTTGTAAACTTTTAAAAAACCATACTATATCAACAAAAAAGTAAAATCTTTTCGAGTTATTCGGAATTTAATTTTACCATCCCTCGTAACTTTTTTTCCAGCTTCTTTTCGTTGAAATATGTTATATGAATAAATTTAAAGGGCATCGAGAAAATGACTTTAGCGAAGTTCATTGAAATCTGTTCATTCGTTTAGGAGCTACAGTCTATAGCAACGCAGGTTTTTCAGCCACCATTTTGAAAGTTAAAAGTGGAGAGTAATGTCGATGAAGGAGGATCATCCTCGGGTGACCTCTGATTTTATATCAATTTTGCAGTTCCTATGGTGCATTGGCAAGAAACCTCAGACATGGGTTTAAAATTTGTTGACCTAGTGTCACCAAAAACAGTTTCATTAAAATCGGTGACCCCACTCCGTAACCTCCCCCCATTGTTAATTAGTACCTCAGACACTTTAATTTTTCATTTAGAGGTAATAGGTATGAAATAACTTCCATTGACAAAAAAATATTCATTTGCCAAGATTTAAACAGATCAGATTAGTTACTTCTTTTCTGAACAGAATTTATATCAGGACTTTTCAATGAGATAACATCATTCAAACTATGTTGAGTTACTCTTCAAATTAACAATTATTAACTATTGAAATCATAATGAGCCTCACTATGTTTCCATAATCCCTTAATACTATCAAAATTTTAGTAAATAGGATTGGCACGAAGGACTGATCCTGAGCACTAGAAAGAACTGAATTAAAATTGACATAATAATAAAGACTTATCAACTGTGATAAATTGCTAAATGACACAGCATACCCAGTAGATAGGATCTTAAAAAACATAAAAAACAAGAATGTGACTGGTTAAGATGTGTCAAGCAACATAAATAATTAATGTTAAGAATTTTTCTCCTTTTGTCCATATAATTGACAAAGAAAAAGTTAGGATTCATATATAAATGGTAATGAAGGATTCCTAGTGAGTTCAAAACAATGGTTTCTGCCATACTCTGTAGCTTGTTCTTTTCAATACCCAGCTTTTCTGAAAAATTACCTGTTGAAAGAGGGAGTTTCTCTATTTCCAAACCAAAGCTCCTTAACTAATGAAAATTCAACAAATTAGTGAAAATGAAAATTTCTCTCAACAAATTCCTCTGTATTTTTTATATTGGGTTGGCAAATAAGTACTTTCGTTTTTTCAGGGTGAAATAAAACTCAATGTATTATAGACATAAAATTTATTTTAATCTACAATATAGTGACCATTATTTAATATGACTTTTATCCATGATTCCACTAACTGCATAATGCCATGTTCATAGAATGTCTGGAGTTTATCGCTAAAAAACTGAAACAAGAGGTTTTTTATGTCCTCTTCCTTTCGGAATTCCTTTCCATTCATGGAGTTCTGCAGAGACTGGAATAAGTGTTAGTCACACTTGTAAAGCTTGTAAAGTCTGGTGAATAGAGAGGGCGGGACAAAAGGTCCCATCAAAAACTCAATAATTTATTGTGAGAGACCAATAAGGTGTGGGGCCAAGAGTTTTCTTTGTGAACACAACACCCTTCCGATCATTCATAACTCTTCAGGATTTCCTCCAAATTCAATCTTCCTATATCATTATTACTGCTTTGAAGAGCCGCATAAATGGTTATTTGATGTAATGCCTACATAAGGAATAAATAAACAAAAACTCCTTGTAGGTTTTTAATTTGTATCTCCATTTGTAGTTTGTTTGTGAAAGTCCTGTTAATGTCATTTTGTGTAGATTACGTGGCCCTAAATTCTTGCTAAATTTCTTGTAGATAACTAAAGTTGTATTGAACTTATAAAATGTTTTGTGATTTTTGAAAAAAAAATCATGTGAGGGACCCAAACACTAAGCTTGGAAACATAGCCGAGCTTGTGCAAATGTTTTTTACACTTGTGTGCGACATATTAGGGCCATAGCAATTGCTCACACTGATTGGGTAGGATTTTGATCAACAATGGTCTTAACATTGCTCGTTTCAATTTCATATGGGCGACCAAACCGTTAAGCATCATTGATATCAAAATTTCCTGAATGAAATTTGGTAAATGAATTTTGACAGGTGCATTCTGTTAAGGCATCATCCCCATAAACACTGCAAATTTTTCTATGAGCTTCTGCAGCATGCTTACCCATTTAAAATAATACCACAAAATATGCCATGCCGATAATGAATGATATTTTCTTCCATATTCACAGTGCAATAGCAAACACAATACTAACCTAGTTTCAACAATAATTGTTGAAATATTACAAATAGGATAAACAATCCATCTTAGGGATTAATTTATCAGATAAGAAGTGTATCATAGTGACATAAAAATAAACAGAAAAACCGAAAGGACTTATTTGCCAACCCAATATATACTTTCTTGTAATAATGGAATGCATTTTTTATAGATGTCCTCTTTTCTCTATTTTATGTTGAGTTTCTGGTCTTGATCATTCCTTTCCAATCTAATTGTGGGGCTTACTATTAGAACCTCCTTTTCTGTTCCACTGAATGTTGAAATATCAATGAACCTAATTGATTCCTTGGTATCTAGGAAATAAACTAGAAAACATCTGTAATTTTCAATTCCAAGAAATTGGCTATTTGCTTCTTTATTATTGTGCCATGCTGTTTGGACATTTCTCAATACATGAGCTGGGGTTTCTGACTCTCCATCACGTTTGCGACATAGGGATCCAATATTTCCATTTGCCTGGTCTCTGGTCCCTGGAAACCACAGAGAGGAGCCTAGTTAAAACACTGTAATGTTTTGTGAAAGAAATCTAAACATGTACTATGCAACAATTGACTGGAATAATTATGTTAGAGATCGGTCCGTCATCTCTAGTAATAATTCATTAACAATAACACACGTTCTTAAAACCCTGACTTGGCATTTAGATAGGTAACACCCACCCTTTCCCTAAAATAAAAATGAAATTTTAATTTTTGGAGTAATTTTATATTTTTTCCTTAATATCTTTTATCCTAATCAAGTGGCATTATTATTTTTTATAGCTACATTTGACATATAGTGAACCAGCAACAAAAATAATACAATAAATATAACTTAAATAAGGAGTTCTTTATCTAAGATTTTTTGAATCTTTACTTACACTGTTATTTGGTTCAGGGTTATACATTTCATTAATCAAAGTTTGTGGCAGGTCTTGTAATGTAGCCTGTGGAAATTCAAATGTTTTAATAACTAAATATGTAATGAATATATTTGGATCTAATTTTAAATTAACTAAGAAGAAAAAAAACAAAAACATGCTATCGTAAATTGAACAAATAACCAAAGTAATAAACACTTCAATATAAAATGAAATATTTTACTTATTGAAGGTTTTCCTGAATCTGTACTTACAGTGTTATTTGGTTCAGGGTTATACATTTCATTAATCGGCTTAGAAGTTTGTGGTAGGTCTTGTAATGTAACCTATGGAAATTCAAACGTTTTAATAAAAAATAGGCAATGAATATATTTGAATCTAATTTTAAATTAACTAAGAACAAAAAAACAAAAACATGCTATTGTATATTGTACAAATTACCAAAGTAATAAAATGAAAAGTAATGAACACTTTAATATAAAATAAAATATTTTACTTATTTAAGATTTTCTTGAATATGTACTTACAGTGGGATTTTGTTCAAAGTTGTACATTTCAGTTTCAGACAATTCAGCTTGTGGCAGGTGTTGCATAGTAACCTTTGGAAATTCAATGTAATTTAATAACCAAACATGTAATGAACATACATTTATTTATTGAACCACATTTTGAATTAACTAATAAAAAAAAAACAACTAAAATATGACATATATTTTTATAATTCTGTTTCTTTAAATAGTACTTATATTATTACTAATATAAAAGAACAAATAGCTCAAACATTAACATAAACTCTGTATTTGATACTCAAGGCTTTATGGTTTGGAATTTTTCTGTTTATATCTTATATTATTACTGTTTATTACTGTTTATATTTACATTTCATTTAATGAACTACACTGTTAGGCCCAAATATTTGAAATAGATCAAGCAAAGAAAACCTCATGAGAGTAAATATGATTTAATTACTAAATATCTAGGAGGTTATATATATATATATATATATATATATATACATTTGAGTCAGGAGGCATTCCAAATTTTTGCCAAATTTTAGGGGTGGGTTGCACACAAGCAAATAAATTTATGAAATCACACAATAGAGTGCATTTTGTAATTATATTTGATGTATAAAACAGTTTCATTTTCATGTTCTTACAGTGTTATCAATAAATAAAGTCAAAATTCATAAAAACATTTTTGAATGTTAGTCTACATCAAAAATGTACTTAGTCTCTTTTTCCAATAAACCTGATTTTCATTTCTTTAAATTTTATTGGCTAGTTAAAAATAAAAAATATTTCATACATGTATTAGCATTATGATTTTGTTTACTACAGATTGAAAAAACAAGTTATAATTAGATCAGAACATATGTTAAATTGTGTCAGTGATTTCATTCTTATTTTCATTTGTATTATTAAAGTATTACAAAATGTCAAACAACTGTTTACATAGAGAATGTGCAAATATGTTGTTTGTTTATGGTTTTCGCAATGAGAATGATACAGCTATTACTGAAGAATATTGGCAATCACAGACATTCTGATAAAAAAAAATATTAATCAGAGTTTTCAACAAACTATGTGAGGGTGGAACACTTCCCAGTGCAATAACATCCAAATGAGCTAATTCCCAAAGTTTTAGAAGAAGTGGAAAATATTCTTGATCTTGTAGATGAAAATAAAATGCTCAGCTCAAAATAATAGCTGCTTAATTGGATATACCACAAAAAAAAGAAGAAAGAAATACATATTCCACGAGCAAGGCTTTTATCCACACAGAGAGTGCATCAACTACAACCGGTAGTTTATAATAAACATATAGAATTTTGTTGGCGGATAAATGATAATCCTCGTGTTGTATCATGCATACTACTTATGGATAAAGCAACATTTACCATTTATGATATTAATAACACTCACAACTCCCATGTGAGGGCCAACCGAAATCCCCACGCAAAAGTCTAAAGAAATTTTCAACATGAACTTTCGGTAAACAACTTAGATTTTTTGTGATTTGAATTACAAGGACTAATAGAGTATGTTCCCCTAAACATCAGAATGAAATGCATTTGGATGAAATGTTACTAGATCCTAGGATTGGTCATGATGGTCCAATAAGTTGATCCTCAAGATCTACAGACTTCACAATAATGGATTATTGTGGAGGCCTAGCATGCTCCATCAGCTGCAGATACAATAAGAGATACAATGCTCCCAGCAATTAATATTCACTTTTAAGAAGCTACCTTCAGGAAAGGCGTGTCAATATTAGAGGGAATCACTATGAGGTGGAAGCTTCCATGGAGAGGGGATGCCCTCAGGTTTCAGTCTTTGGCCCTGGTCTCTGGAAGCTTGTCTTCGATGAATTGCTGGGAGTGTTAGGGGAAGAGTGGCTCCCTGCCACTGTCTATATTGATGACCTAGCTACTGTGGTGACTTCCAATAGCAGAGCTGGAGTCAAGAGAGAAGCAGAGCGATGCGCTGCCCTGGTACCGAGGTGGTGTGAAGAAAAGAAGATGAGGATGGCTGCTGCCAAGACCTAAGCCATTCTCCTCAAGAGAAAGACTGTCATGGCACACCCTATAACAATAAACATAGAAGGCCAGAGGATACGTCCAAGTGAGATGGTAACCTACCTAGGAGTTAGGTTAGGTTTAGGCCTAAATGTAACGTCTCACTTGGAATAACTGGCAGGTATAGTAGCCCTAGCAATGAACAGTCTACTATACTCTAACACATGTGGGGTGCGCATTCTGGGGACTTAGGTATCCAGTCACAATCACAATTTATAAAGGTGCTGTGGAGGGTATCCTCCCTTCTGGTTCCGGAAACTCACACTACGCCAAAAAGTAGGCTAGCATCAACTCATGGGATAGCTCTGCTTCAGGTCACCAGAGGATACAGAACAACTTCGCATGAAGCAGAGCAGGTCCTAGTAAGGGTGGTGCCTCTCGACCTCCTCCTGCTAGAAGAAGTGACGAAATATTTTTATAAGAGGGAAGGCTCTACAGTACTTACAGACAATCTGCAGGTGAGGATTATCAGGCTGTGTGTACATCCTTGCTCAGTAGTAGTGTGTTATTAAGCATTCATGACTAATAACACATTATTGCAAACACCGGTATTGCCATAGTAGCATGGGAGGGTGGAATATATAATAAATAAATAGTTCTGGATTACTGTTTATAGGGCTAGATTAAAGATAAAATATACAAAGTAAAAAGTAGATATTTAGGATGCACTAATACAATGTATTAAAAATGCTGTAGGCATCGTTAAAGGAAGATCTGAAACAATTAGGTGATTTTAAATCACAATCAAATTTTGAATCATTGTCGCCCTTCAAAGACGAAGCCGAAAATTTTTGGAAATCAATGGTGTTATTATTGAACATAATTAAAATAAGACTTTGATATTTTAACATATCAAGGAGACCCCATGAACAAAGAAGACAAGGATCACACTGAGGATCTCGACCCAGAAGAGGTTGAAAAAACAGATGTACTGAATGTAGAAATAGCTATCGAAAGGCTTAAAACAAGAAAGGCCCCAGGGATGGACAATCTACCAACAAACTGTTTAAAGATGGGTGAGAGGACTTAAAAGCCAAGGTACTAATCCAGAAAATATGGAAAGAGGAAAGGATAACTTAGGCTTGGAATACATGCCTAACCTGTCCTATCCTAAAGAAAGGCTCCATGTATGAGTGTAGTAATTACCAAGGCATACCACTCCTTCCAGTTGCTTACAAGATAATGAACAATATCGTACTAAACTGAATAAATCCATACAATGAAAATTTAATAGGCAACCATCAAGCTGGATTCAGAAAGGGAAGGAGCATACTAGACCAAATCTTCATTCTAAAACAAGTACTCGAAAAACGATGGAAAGTAGCTCAGGACGTCCATGCTCTATTTATTGATTTCAAAGCAGTCTATGATTCTATGGAAAGCAACTGTCGTTGAAAAATCATGGCTGAACTGGGAGTTCCTGGTAAGTTGGTGAGACTGACAAGGGTGTGTAAAAATGACACTAAATGTCAAGTCCTAATACAAGGAGAACTATCTCAAGATCGAATGGGCTTATGGCAGGGAAATGGACTATAACCTATATTGTTCAACTTAGCCCTGGAGAAAGTAATAAGAACAACATCATGTGAAAATGGAGGTGCCCACGTCGGAATGATTCATAAAATCCTTGAATATGCAGATGATATGACTGTCCTTGGAAGTAATCAAGAGAACATTGAGAAACTCGCTAAGACTCTGATAAGAGAGGATGAGTAAATCGTCCTACAAATAAATGAAGCTGAAAATTCCATCCCAATAACAGGATCTGCGTAGAAGGGAAATTGTTCCCGAGAGTTAGAACCAAGAGAAACTTCAATATGATTCAAACATCATAATGAATCTTGAAGAGAAGAATAGTTGGGGTGGTTAGTCAAAAAAAGAAGGCAAAAATAAATGATGTTATTTATTTTTACATATGCCGACGTTTCGATCTGAAGTTCAGGCCTTCATCAGGGCTGATTTCTTAAGTGTTGCAGGGAGAATGGAATTATTAAAATAATCTTAATAATTTCAATTAAAGAAGAATTAAAAAAATAATCTTATTTCAATTCAATTATTAATTAATTGATATCCAACAGAAAGTATTATTAGAAGGTTAATAATATTATAAAACACAAATTGAAAATTGCAGTAAAACTAATCCCAATTTTTAATATATAATGAAGAAATAATAAAATGAAAAATAAAATTTTTTTTGAATATTAAATTAAAAGCTTTCTTTATTCATGTTTTTTTTAAATTCATGCTTACGTTGTTATTGTTCATAGCTTCATTAGATTCACAGTAAGAGCCTTTATATAATGAACCAGAATTTCCATCCAGAACCTAGAGAAAAACTTCAATATGATTCAAATAAACAAAAAAAAATAATCTTATTTCAATTCAATTCTTAATTAACTAACAGTCAACAAAAGTTGTATCAACAGTTTAATATCATAAACCGCAAATAGGGAAATTGCAGTGTAATAAAGCCTGATTTTAATACACAATGAAGAAATAATAACAGCAAAAAAAAAAAAAAATTAAAAACTGTTGAATGTTATATAAAAAGCTTTATTTATTTTGTTTTAGCTATACTTACATTGCTATTATTTATAGATTCATTAAACCCACAGTCAGAGACTACATTTACAGATTGAGATTTTTCGGTCACTATCTAGAAAAACATTAGTATGATTCAATAAATTAAATAAAAAAATAATATTACTTTTATTCAATTTTAAATTAAATAATGCTAACTAATTGTTGAATTAGAAATTGTGGCTTAGAACTAAATTTAATTAAATTTAGTTACTTAATAAATAAATAAATTGATAATATAAAGTTTCTGGAACACTTACAGTATTATTATTTATACTTCTATTTGATTCACAGAATGGTATTTCCTTCGTACTACCAAAATCTTGGGACAGATCTGGCAAAGTATCCTAGGGAAATATCAAAAGCTTTTCAATATTCAATTTTAAATTAAATAATGCTAACTAATTGTTGAATTAGAAGTTTAATTGTATCAAAAACCATAAATGGAAAAATTGTGGTCAAACAAAGCCTGATTTGAATTTACATCTTGAGTTTAATAACTTCTGTGATGTTTGTTTTAACTACAAATAACAGTAATGAATAAACTCCGTAAGAAAAAAACAAAAAAATAAATAAGAACAAAAGTAAATATCCATATGGAGAAATAAAAAAATTGGCGAAGCTTCAAACAGTTAAGATTTTGTTAATCCCCTCCCGACTTCTCTTCTGATTGCTTAAGTTTTGATTTTTTTTTTCTCTAGCTTTATAGTATTAGTTTTTGAAAATAAAGTATTGTGCAGAATATTCGAACCGAAAAAGAATGAGTGAACTGTACTCGGTTAATATAATTGAGATGATTAAGTTATGGTGAATAAAATGGGCATGTAAAATAGCTGGGCTTAGTAATGAAAAAATTTCTAAAAAGTTAATATGTGCTGTACCGACTGGTAAGTGTCCGAGATGTAGACCAAAGTAAAGGTGGAAAAATTGCATTAAGGCTGATCTGGTGGGATTGGGTTTAGACAGAGACCAGTGGATGGAAGAATATAGTTATCAATTGGTGGCGGCATCGAACCATCGGGTTCACTAAGCCTTATTGTTATTATTATTATTATTAACTTTATAGTATCATCATCACAAACTCTAAACCAATAATTTGATATATGGCATTGCAGATACGAAGGATGAACTCCAGAAACCTAAATATTGAGAAAACCCCAGTTAAAGTTTCTACACATGGGGCGAACCCAATGAGTCGTAGTATAGTAAAATTTCAATTAACCATTACTAATTAAATGAGATAATAATTAAATTACGATAAATTTTATCCTTCAGTTTCTGTTGTCACTACAGTAGGACTAAAAAATTTTTTTTGATCAAGTGTTGAGTTCCCCCTTAGTATCCTGCCTCATATTTACATTTTTGTAAATTCCAATCACTTCTTTTTTCATTCTTAAAGTATTTTTCGCTTCACGAGGGTGCATGGTGCATGAACCTCTTCCCAAGATATTTTATTACTCTAATCTTCTTAAAACAAACAATTTAAATTAAGAAATTTCTATATAAACATGTGATTTCGTTTCAAACTTTAAGTTTCCATAATCACTAACTATATAAATGTTTAGTTAACATTATTTAATTGCATTAAGATGTTCTATTGTTTTTGTGAAATAACGCTTTTTATTTTGTTTGTCCTGAGATTGGCCTCAGAAGTAAACAGAGATGAAAACATAAGGGACATAAGAGACAGGCTATAATCTCGTAATTTAAGACAGAGGTTATTAGAAAATCATACACTCACCCTGGAAGAACCTATCAGCCAGGTTGGAAGATTTGAGCTAGCACAGCACCAATCACAGCAATGTATGAAAATCTCCTTTGTGAATTCTCTTCCTCAGGTCTATCATAATTCAACTCCTGTTAAATCGATGAACTTTTGAGCCTCAAAATATACCCTTCTGTTCTTGAAAAGAGTTACTTAAATGCACCCAAGAAACATGCTAGAATTCCATGCCCGGCTAGGGATACCATCTGCCATGAATGTGGTATTAAGGGGCATTTTGAGAAAGTATTTCACACCTCGCCTTACTCATTCCTCAAATTTTGTTGCAGCCATATCTAACTCATTAAAGAATACAACTCTCAGATTTATAATAAATGGACAGGAGGCGAAGGCAAAGCTCAGCAACATTCAACGATAAAAAAAACAGTAACTAAATTCTAAAACCATTTATTCATTGTCACAAATCATCAAATACTCGTTCCTGAAAAGGATGAAAAGGCCTCTATTGTGAGAGCAAGTCTTATGTAGTAAACTTTGGCAAATCAATATGATTAAATAAATAGTTTTTATTTAACTAATAACAAACAAAAAAAACATTAAATTGTGGCTTAGAACTAAATTTAATTAAATTTAGTTACTTAATAAATAAATAAAATAATAATATAAAGGTTCTGGAACACTTACAGTATTATTATTTATACTTCTATTTGATTCACAGAATGGTATTTCCTTCGTACTACCAAAATCTTGGGACAGATCTGGCAAAGTATCCTAGGGAAATATCAAAAGCTTAATTACATAAAGCATGAATTAACAAGTTGTAGTGAAAGTATATGAAGTTTAAAAATTAGTTCTTGTCTTGAAATATATTCTTCTGAATTTGTTTGTTTTAACTACAAAAATATTCATCTTTTAGAGTATCAGTCACCAATCAACTATCATAACAAGGTTTATTGGATAAATACATACAGTTTTATTGTCTATAGCTGGATTTGATTTACAGGAAAGAACTTCTATTTCAGACCTTGAAGATGGGGGCAAATCTCGCATAATAACCTTGGAAAAAATCAACATGACTAAATTAATAACAACTGTTAATTATCTAGAAGTAAAATAATTGAAAAATAGATTAGTTAATTTAAGGTTTATTTAATCCACACTTACAGTTCTGTTGTTTATCATTTTTTCATTTGATTTAAAGTAACATCCTTCACTTTTACACCCACAAGTTAGATAGAGATCTGATAGAATTGCCTAAACAAAAATCATCGTGATTTAATAATTACATGAGCAATAACATTATTTAAATCCATTTTTAATTAAGTACTAACGAAATAAAATCTTTGAATATTATATGAAAGGTTCTAGATTTTAATTTGTAATATATTTCTTAAGAATCCATAATAACTAAATTTAAATATTGTTGAGTAAAACCTTACATTATTTTTTATTGCTTCATTTGATTTAAAGTCAGGTGTTTCACTTGAATAACTTTTATTTTGGGGCAGATCTGGCAGAGTATCCTACGGAATTACCAGAATGATTTATTAAGCGAGTAGATAATTAAATTACATCTTTTTGTGTTGAATGTTCCTTAAAGTTATACTGATAGTTTAACTGTTTTTAGCAAAATTTGATTTAAAGCAGCTTACTTCATGCCCAGGTATTTGACGTAGATCCAACAGAATAACCTTGGGAAAATCAATAACATTTAATAACTAACTAAATAGATAATGAAAATATTTTAATTAACAAAATAAATTTCAATGTTGGATTAAAATTTTTCAGTTAATTTATAATTTATTGAATTTATTCTTACTTTGTGAATGTCTATATCTTCATTTGATACACTGTCAGAGGTGTCATTTATAGATTCTGAACTTTCAATCATGACCTAGATACCATTAACATGATTCAATAAACAAATTAAAAAGAAAACAATAATGAGATTTTTAGCTGGGTGTCAAATGTACATGTAATTACAAACCATACTTATTTTTAAAGGTTCCACATGAGTTACTTCTGTGATTGTTTGTTCTAACTGCAAAAATATTCATCTGTTAGCACAAATATAAATTTTAAATCTTGAATAATTCTGACTTCAGAATCATAATTTAATTCAATTGATTATAGCATTATTGGATGGAAAGTTTATTGTATTCCTTTTAGATAAACAAGTAAAGATATGACAGTATATCTAAAGAAAAAATATTATGGTAAATAATTCAGATGAAATTATTTCGATCTAGTTCCTGGTAAACCATGGGCAATTAATTTTGTTTAAGGGGCTGAAAATTAATTCTATATAATTTTTTTTTGGCAGCATGATTTGTGTTGTTATACCTATTTTTTGTATGTGGAGGGGAATTTGTAGAAAGGACACTGAACTGCTTACTCATGGGCTTGGATTCCAATCTAGCTATGACATTTAAGGTAATTATTCTGTTCTATCAGTTATGGATGAACTTCGGAATCAGGAAACAGTTCTGAATTGTTTCCTGAACTCAGCCTCTATGATGTTTGTACCTGCTCCTTCTTTCATACAGGGATAAACATAGGAGGACCATTTTAATCAGCTTTTTGGATAACCATTGATCAACAAACAGCACTTTTTTACCAGTTATTGAATCCTAGGCCTTTCATGGATTCACATTATTTTTATTTTTGACATGGAAGTTTATTGGAAGTCTGGATGAATTCATTAATTCAAGTCTAATATGAAATTAATAATTTGATAAAAAGTTGAATTATATTCGAACATGAATCAAAATTTGTTTAAGCATGTTTAATTTTCAAAATTATTTCTTGTTTGAAAAAATGCTCATATTTTAGCACATATATCAATGAAGGATTAAACATTACTGAAGGATTTTTTTTTATGCTATAGATAGTACTTCTTAACAAGTGTTGCTCCACTTTGATGGAAGGGCACAAGATCTTATAATTAACCAAACTGAAATTCCAAAAATAGCTAAATGTGTTGGAAAGTAGAGGAAGATAACCGAACTGGTAGGTAAGGTCCCAATCACAACTGAAATGGACCTGTGGGTGTTTTGTTTATAATACTGGTGCAGTCTGTAAATTTCGCGAATCATTATTATACATAACTTATGATACAGTTCTTCGGCTGTAACTTCAACACAGTTCTTGCCGAATAGGGTAAAGTTTAAGGTGACGTAATCTTAGCTTTCTTGAGTCTAGTGGCACCGGTTCTATAAAATGAATCTCAATCTTCCCATTCTTCTTAGAATAGGTAAATAAAAAAAACACAAAGAACATTTTGATGTTTTATCCTTTGATATTGATAATGTTTTGTGGGATGAATATTCCTGACTAAGTCCAATAAGATGAAATGATAAACCGATACCAACTACTGCAAAATAATTTAAAGCTTTTCTCGGTTGAGAATTCTGTCACAATTGGCAAGAATATTTCATTGCTTAGAGCACACAGTGAACAGGAATCAAATCTGATAAAATTTACCTCCCTGGTGGAACAGTATAATGAATTTATCAGTAGATTACCCAACTTGTTTCAAGGATTTGAAAACTCTTCATAAACAAATCGATGTCTCCAGTATAAATCGTATCAAATCCTAGAAAAAGCCGATGATTTAAATATCATTGGACGTATTTTTTTTCAACAGAAAGAGTGCCTTTCTCAATCTTCAAAGAAGGGATACTAAAGTTGGATTAGTAGTGAACTAATCTATGATAAACATGATTTGTGATCCCAAAAGAGGAAAGTACCAAGGAGGGAAATTTAAAATCGGTGATTTCAACATCGACAGTAAAGAGGAATTAATTCATCTTGGTTATAACACACTTGATATAATATAATATGCAACGTGATTACGGTAGCCAATAGATGCCATTATGAGCTTCAGAAGCATCTTAAAACCAAGTTTCTCTTCAGGAAAACCAAAATAAGAATTTATAAGACAATTATATTTCCAGGTCTGTTCTCATATATATATCAGAGTTCAGGACTCTGATGAAAGCTTTAGAATCGACTCAATTGAGATTTGGGCCTGTGAAGAACAACTGGGTTAGTAATCTGAGAACAAATGCTATGCTTATGACGACAATGCGTGGTACTTTTTATAAATATTAGGCGTCTTCGATGGATTAGTGGATAAGATTCCAAAATGCTCCCAGATGGATGAATTTTGAGACCTTGTGGTTGTGTGGCAGCTGATGCCCAGAGAGATCTAGGGATCAGAAATTAGATAGTAGCTGCACAAATATGGAAAACTGGCAGCAATGACTGCCGAAAGCCTTGACTCACCATGAATTATAATGTCACCGAAGAAGAACCGTCCTTCAATTAAGGTTAATTTCCCGAATTGTCATAATATTATTACTGGCCTTCGAGATTATTAACTGATCAATGAAAAAACAAATTTCACAACTCAAAGGAAACTGGCAACTTCGATTACTCTCCCGGTTTAATCAGTTTTAACAGAGTATTATTCATTTCACTGATAAATAGACCTGTATTTACTAAAGCTGATTTCAACCGACCAACCTACTGTGACTAAATATGAAGTACAAACAGGTATAATTACATACAGTGAAATTTTAGAATGCACCATGATGGCATCGGTTGATTTTAAATTACTGATGAAAAACCTTTTCACTTTCTCTTAATTTCTTCTTGTACGATATTATGAAAGCATCGAGTGACGAAGACTATAAAACTCATATCAAACTACGAAGGCGAGGGACTAAAGATACTAAAGTTTTCTCTTCAACAAAACATACTGACATTTTTATGTTCCACTATCAATAAGACAGAACAATTCATTTGTTTTCTCGTAATGCTAAAGTCCGTTAAGAGGTGTTTATTCCGAGCAACTAGAAACTGTTTTATAGCAGTATCGGCATCTGCGAGACACGAGAAAAATCATTAGTCTACTGAATATGAGATTCAAATCTTGCTTCCAAGATATTAGAAATATCTCCTTGCACATCCTTCAAGAGCTGGTGTACTTGTTCGTGATGCATACCTTAGTCACAGGATCTGCGATTTTTCATAAAAAGTAATAATTTTGTTGGAAAGATTTCTTTTATTTGTTTATTTTTAAAATCCATTTAACTACTAGAACAACAGCATGCAGTCTACAATCGCAGAAATCGCTCACTTTTAGCTGCATTTTTTAATGCCGAACTATTGCAGTTCTAATTTATCATAAATCCATGAGTTACATCTTTCAGAGATAGGAAACAACTTCATCGTCGACGATCCATCTAATTATATATTTTAAATTATTAATCCGTAACGAATATCATAATAGCATTTTACATTATCCTGGTGGGCTTAAGAACTTTACGCTCTTGTTGATTTAGAGAGTATTGCAGATGACGGGATGACGGAGCACATTAGTGCGTGGGTTTCAGAAGGCACGGTTCTGAACGTGAATTATTTGATTCCCACCTGGGTTGGTTAATTTTCATTTCTCGACGGCCTAACAGGAAATGAATATTGACACTCCCATTCTGGTAACAACACAGCGGCAACTCAGCGTAGCCGTCAGGGGTAAAATGGATCCTCAGGGCCCACTTGCCGGATTAGTTTCCTCCACCAGTACCTGTAGTATTGCATAACAACAAGGGCCTGAGAAGAAAAACTTCCATAGATTTCTACATAAGAAAAACAACGAAGCTTTGGCCATGCGCATCTGATCTTACTTTCCGCCTAATCAAACAGAAATATACTTCTGATGGCTACATGACCACAATCATCCAGGAATTTCCAGAGTTAGCGAGGTCCTGTTGCCCAACGTTTCTATTTTTCTAGTTAAGTATTCTCAAATTATGGCTTTTTAATAACTTTCTTTTCTGTAACAGTCAAGAGAGAGAAATGGCGCAGTATAGTACTTCAAGTGCAACCATACAATGGTATTTCAGTGAGCCTTCCTAACAACAAACTTATTGGAAAAGTGGAGGTAATCCTAAGTGTGAGGTCTCATGATCAGATTAGTATCTATTACAATTGTTCTTGCTGTCTGTCTAGATAAATTAATTATTATGATAATACCTGATTTGCAATCTCTTCATTAATATTCTCCAGTGGGTAGGAACAAGATTCAACGACTTCGCTTCAACAAAACCTTTGTTATCAAAAATTTTAATTATATACGATTTTATTTTTGGTCTGTTTTTCTTGTGTTGCTAATATCTGACTGAAATATGCAACAAATATATTTATATAAAGTCTTCACTATACTCGAAGCCTTCAAATTCTCCTTTGTAATGTTTAATAATAAGAAGTTAATAAATGATGGGAAACTGTATCGTAGATAAAAATGCCGTGAATTATAAATTAAAATTTTTGTAGTGCATTAGTGTACAAAGGCCATTCAGTGATGTTTTATATCAGTTACTATAGCAATTTTTTATGTTAACATCTGTTTTCTTTTAATCTGCGGTTACTAAGGACTACTAGCGCTTTATTTGGTAGAACATTTATATAATGCAGTAAAAGTTTAATTTCACTAACCTATATTTATAGTAAGGAAAAATATTGCGATCGTGAAAATTTTCGAATCTGAGTTTTTAACGAAATATAAGTTTTGAGGTCCCTTGAGTCCACATAACCAAGTCCGGAAAAATGGTCTATGTGTATATGAACATCCTAGATCAAAAATGAAAAGTCGTACGAGACTTAAATTGAGTATTTAAGGTTTTTATATAGTTCCGAAGTGACAGCAAGTTTTTCGTTAAAATCGGCTAACCGGAAGTGCCACTTTAACGGCGAAACACATTTTTACAATTTTCTCAAAAACGGCTCGAACGATTTTGATTAAACTCGGTGCACCATTGTATAATTAAGTGGTCTTTAATATCATTTAGGTGTTAGCCCCATTGATGTCACTTTACAGAGCTTAAATGCCCTATGTTCTTACAAGTCCTCCTCTAAAGTACCTTTAATATGGACTTTTTAAAAAAAATAACTCTCTTTTATTGACAATAGCTACAAAAAATGGATAAATATGAAGTTTGAAAGAATATAATAATTGGGACTGGACATAAATGCTTATTCAGATTGAAAATGCATTTCCGGAAATAACAGTCAGAAGGTATACGTATAATATATTGTTGGAAAGCGGAGTATTTTAGAAAAAAATAATATCAAATAAATAAAGCTACAGAATGTATCGAAGAGTGACTAAAAAAATGTAAATAATAATTCCAGAAAACTAACATTATTTAACGTAAATTATATGTTTCTAAGGAAATTAAATGAAATTTTCTTACTCAATGCAAACTTTTAAATTTTTTTCTAAGTTTAAAAAAAAGAATTTAAAATCCATCGAATCAAGCCAATGCCATTGTTTAAAATATTTTTTCATTGTACTTGTGTGAAAGAAGAAGTGAAATATAAAATTATTTTATGGATATGTTTATAACCTTAAATACATTTATCGTAGTTTAATAACTCTAGATATGATAGTATATTTAAATAATTATGTATCTATTGGCCGTTTATTCCAAAAAATCATTAAGTAACCTTTTAGAAAATTAAATTAGTGAATAATTTACACTTACAATTAGTGTGACAACTTTTGACCTAACCATGGCAGGCAATGAAAATCTCGTAATTTCATTTTAGTAAACTTTACAATGGAAAATAACAGTTTAATAACTATTAGTCATACAATCCATAATCATTTATAGGTTAAACATTCAGATGTACTTTGAAATCTCTCTAGGCATATATGAGCCTTTCAGTTGAAGGAATGGCCAACTCCAATTTAAACTTCAACTTAATTATGTTTCTAGAGGCAAAAATTATACCTTTATTCACAGTTCTATATTTCAACGCTGCAATTATCTACTCTGGAATCAACTTACTCATTGTCTGTATAGATATAACTTTTTCAACTAGAAATATTACTTAAATGACTCATACATTATTCAAAAATGTTGAAACTGGAGTTAGTCATTCTGTCAACTGAAAGGCTCAAACACTGAAGTTATATGGTTTATAAAAGCAGATGGAGTAACTAGATTTTTATTGCCTACCGTCGATATAATAGAGTTTTTTAAATTTTAATGGTCTTAATAATTTGTTATCTGTAAGTTTTAAGCTTTAGCTCCGTTAAAATGCCCTTCAAAAATTTTATAATAGCCGGAAAATAGTTTCTATTCAAAGTAGAGCGGTAAGTGAAAGTTATGTGTTGCGCGCATCATATTTTTTATTAATGCCCTCAAAATACGTTACATGACTCAGCGATGGTACAATAAAATGAGAAGTTAACGTTTTTTTCAATATTCTATTTGTTTATTATCAGATTTTTTTTAAAAAAACCATTCTATTAAGATTCTTTGCTACTTCGAACAATCAGAGACCAATATGTCACAGGCAAGAAAAAAACAGTAAAAATATTCTTGTGTCGAAGTGTTTTACATTATTATTATCTTTTATTGTTTCTTTAAACTTTATCTGTGACAACGATCAGAAGTTCAAGAAACCCTCCTGTTTGACATTAGTACATAATTTAAAGGAAGAATGGAAGAAGGAATGGAAAGAAGAATGGTCTGGTCTATTTTAATGGACAATTCATTTTTTTACAAAACTCATTTAGTAATCAGAATAAATGTCGTTTTCTTGTTCCACGATGAACTTCGAAGTTCCAGCTAAAAAACAATTTAAAGCCGAACAATCCTAATACGAATAAACGCATTTCTTATTCCAACATGGAGAGGAAGGAATGTGATGTGTATGGTTCCAACATTTTTGAAAAACAGCTCCAAGGTTTCGTAGAAGCTTTGCTTTATATAATAATTATAATTTACACCTGAACTAATAACAGTTTTATATTCTATTACCGAAGTTATTGCTTTCTATTAAAATGAATAATTGCCAATATTTCCTAATTCTATTCCTATCCTAACCCAGCCTCTATAAAGTTGTTACTCTTAATCAAGGAGAAAACCTGGCGATTGAGCGTGATCTTGGTCCGGTCACCTTCCTGTACAACTGCTGGCCTTGAAACAGTCCTTTCTTACAAAGATCTGAACCCAAGACCCTTCATCGATTGAAATCTATATTGGTATACTTATTTATACTGCTAAAAACAGAATAGATATTTTACCTTCTAGAATGAAAACCTTACTCTACTTCCTTGTGAGTTATTTCATTCAGGACATGTCAGTTATTAGAAATAAATAAAAATCATAAAGCGAACTTGTGAATGAGAGGGAGAGGGAAGCAATATTGGAGGATTGGAGCTGCGAACTGTCACCATCGCTACCAAGGTCAATAAAACTACCAGATTCGCTTACTCAGAAATGCGTGGTGGAGGAACTTGAAAGTGACGTAAGGAATAGACCGTCAGACCTACCTATTACTCTTTAAAGCCTATTAATGAAGGCTTATTTCAACATTATTGTGCTTTTTTTTTCTTGTTTAATTTATTGAGAAGAATACTTTTCTGTGTTTTGACGTTTGATTAAATATAATTCCAAGTAGATAAATAAATAAATACGACTATCAATCTAGAATAAAATGCTATGAAAATTACAGGCCAGGCATGAAACGAAAAGAACGAAATTGATACTAAGATTATTTATAAATTCTTTATTTCAAAATACCTGTAAATAATATATAAATATATTACATAAATAGAAAAAACTAAGATTTATATTTATTTAGAGAACATTTTAGCACAATGTTTGTGTAATTTTGTTTGTAGATCTTGTGCGTATTTCTTTTAATATTATAAGGATGAAGACCTTTGTCAGGATTTGCAGTCAAAATTTCTTTAAATAAATAAATTTATTTATTATATAAATATATAAATTTATTTATAAGCAAATCCTGATAATTTATTTTCACCTTATAATCTTAACAGTCCACTACTTATCCCTCTCTAAAATAATATTATAACGAGTATTTATTTTTTATTTTTAATAACAAGTTACAGAGAATTCGTTTGTTCTTATTAGTATTTCTCATAATATCATAATTATTAATAGAATTCTATAGAATGCTAGGTACAAATTAGATTATTGTGCATCTTGCAACAATAATCTAATTGACACAAAGAATATGGGAAAGAAAATTTCATTTCATACTTTTCCAAAGGACGCTCGAAGAAAAGATTGGAAAATGTAAATGTAAAAATATTGTAAAAAAAAGTAGATTATTTTTATTAACTTTCTATGTAATTTAGCTTATAGATATAGTTCCATGCATGTTGAAAAACATAATATACTCGCAGAAGCTCAGTTGTAATTATTCATTATTTTTCCTGGCACCCGTCTTACAGAACTAAAAACATAACTATTGAAAAAAATACTTGTAATACACTGCTGGCAAATCCGGTATATTCATCAGTTGTTTTCAACTCATCACTAATCCTGTTTGGTTCAGATATCTGGTCTTCATTTATACACTAATGACAAATTATATTTAGTGTATTTCATTTTACTATTAGAAGTCTAATTGTAAACTAATTCAATTCTAATATTATTAATGAATAATTATAAATTTAATGTGAACTCAAACAAAAAAAAAAAATATATATATTTTATAACACTATCATAATTTTATACCAAATTAACGTTTCAAAATTTCGCAGATAAGGTTTAGAAAATGATGAACCTGAACATTGGATATATTTTTGTAATCTCGATTAATATTACAAAAACGCGTTGTTGCTTTAAATGAATATTAGGAAATATTCACATATGCACCATATTGAACAAAAAATAATTTCATATACCAGTTCCTCTTCGGTGTAACCAATGGCCTATCAAGACCATTCCAGGCCCGGAGTGGATTCATTTTTAACATTCTCTAAAGAAAACAATAACGGGTGAGGTCCGCGACCAGTTTATTTTGAGGATCCCTAACAAAAGAACTAATGTCCCACCATTTCTTGTCTATTCCGATTTATTGTTTCTAATGATTGCTTGAATAATTAGTCTGCTGAAAATCAGGCATTCCCGAAAACAACTCAAGTAAATAAAAAATATACCTATGTTCTATGCCTAGGTTCGTTTTTAGTTAAATAAATCGATAAAAAGAAAATTTCATTAAAAAAAAAAAAGTTCTGAGTTTCCTTCAGATTGAAGTACAATGTTTTTATTTATTTTTTCAATGAAGTTATCTTAATAAAATAAAAAAATCCCCCGCTGTGTGAACCCCTTGGTAAATGGAGCCAGTACCATCCATCCAGCCTAGGAACGCCACTGGGTAAAACTTGTGTCTTGGATAGGTTTTATGCTGCATGTTATACCAAGCACCACGAAGCACAATGGAAGAAACTTTTCACCTTTAAAATATTTGTCTTACGTTTGAAAAGTTGCATCTTACGATATAGCATTACTTTCATGTTGAGTATTTATGAAAATATAGTAATAATGTTCCGACAAAACATTAGAATTCAGGTCACACCGAACAGAATGTAGTCTCTACTTGGATTTTAAACGAGATATAATTAAAATTCTATTTGGAACTTAAAAAAATAGATTAACATTATGTTCAAGGATTAACACACCTCTTTGGAGACTTCGCATAAAGTATGAAGACTAACAGAGAAATTAGGATTCTTGGAGTCATGAAATTCTGTTGATGAAGCTTCATAGTGACCAGACATCTGTAATTTAAGAGATATGTTAGTAAAATGAGTATTTTATAAAACCATCCAACCTCCTAAAGAATTTAAAAATAATATGTCATTTTGTGCTTTATTATCATTACCGAGAAAATAATTTTTTTATTTTTTATATTTTATTGAATAATAATACAATCAGCCACTGAGCGAGAAAATAATTAAGCACAAAATACTGATTTTTTTTTAGGTAATCTCTAAAATTACGAATAAAAAAAAAAGAATGAGATTCTCAATTTGCGAAATATGGGAGAAATATAAGCCAACCCATATTGAGGAAGAGGAAAGGGGAAATAGATTATCTCGAAAGTGATCCAGAACTTGGAGGAATTATGGAGGCACAATCAAATTAGACATTATTAATATAGGAAAGAAAATCTGCAGATAGAAAATGGGTAGATAAATCAAATGGTACAGCTAAGGAAATGACTCACGTAATTCTGTTTTAATAATGTGGATCGGAATTAAATATTGACCCGAACCATGTGAAGTACCATACGATAATAATAACCGCTTAATTAATAGAAAAGATCCGCCAAAGAAAATTGGGATTATTTTCTTAGTCCAGTGAATAAAAATTTGTCTGTTGATTCCAGATTTAATGTATGGAATTGGAGATGATTTGCCAATAATCTACCAGTCGGCCTTCCAACGAGGAGCTTTGTTTTTGTCGCGGTACCCTCCTTTCCCCGTTTAAACGGGCTTTAAAAACATTAAATGGAACGGTTAGTGAACGAACGAAAAGGAACGGATCCTAAAAAGGAACGATCGGTACTGACCCTGTTCCCAAAAAGGAACGACTTTGTCCATCTCTATTATTGAGCACCATGGATAACAAATAAAATCAAAAAGTCATAATAGTACTCCAATAAGTTCATAATTAGGTATTGAGACTCCATATTCGAACTACCAACGATGAACGAATTCATCACATTCACCAGCTCAGATTTCATCACGATAAACTTACCAATACATAAGAAACTCACTTTTCAGGACATTAGCGCGAACAGAAAGTCCACGAGAAGAGCAAACAGTGATTTGTTATTTATGTCAACAACTTTTGACTAAACACTAAGTGCATTGGACTACTAACTAAAAATAACACTAAATATGAATTCATAATTCTTAGATTACTAAAACTCTCCTCTCTACACAAATCAACTGAATATTACTATAAGCAAGAATAGAGATCCAATGCTATTCAAACGGCACATTAAACTATGGGTACCGGATGGAAAATAATAAATGTAAATAGTTTTTGGAGGTCTGAATGCGTACCATGTTAGTGTACTTCATTGGTCACCTAAATTTACTGACATTCAAACTTTTTTTTTTCTTACCACGACATTGAGTATTAAGATATACTCTTATAAATTATTAGTTGCAAATACAAATCTCATAGAATTCTAGAAGTAAATCGAGTAACAAAAGGAAATTAGGGAAATCTTGTTGAGTGCCTCTATTAAGTTTTTTCCTAAAGGCGGAATTCCACTGAGGCAACACCGAACATGTTGCTTCATACTTGTTTCCTAGTGTTGCCTATTGTAGCCATCCAAACTAGTGGAACAAAATTCAATTAATGTAGCATGCGGAATTTGTTACCCCACATCGCATGCGCTTTATCGTACACTTGTGTAGCATGCGACTAAAGCGATCCCATTCAGGCAACTTCAGTTTGGTACATCATGTCACTACAAACAGTCACAGCAGCTGCATATTTGGTAATCGCTTTAAATCATAAAAGGAAAAGAAAAACATCACAATATTGGAAAAGAGGACTATAAATCAATTTTTTTGCAGAGTCTGTGAAAGAAATTATTATTTGATTAAAACTTTAAAAGATTTTTTTAAAATATTTATAACAAGTATTCATTAAGTCAGCCACCATTTTTACAGGAAGTAAAATCCGATTGGTGAACTCTCATTTTTTAAATAAAGATGTTATAAATATTCAAAAAATTCATTTAAATTTTCATCAAATAATGTGGATTTTCATGGGCTCTCAGACTATTTGGTTTGCTAGCAAGTGTATTTCGTGTCTTCACCTAAACACTTAGCCGTTGACAATATTGATTTGGTTACATTGACGGCCAATAAAAAATTCAGTAGCTCATAAGCAAACCGCTTCCCGTTTTTGCTAGGAGAGGAGCCATTCTTTTCTTGCTGAAGTTTTCTGAGCTCGCGATGAAATGCTGACAAATTCTTAACTATTTTTTACCTCTATCATTGTACAATTATATTTTCCAAAGGAAGGAGATGGTCCGGGGTGGCGGTCATAAATAGGCTAAATAGTGGCAAAACTATTTTATTAAAAGCCAACGATTCGACCCGACTTTGCAGGTCTTTTTCCGGGGGTGTGCTTAGCTAGGAGTTTCACTTAGAACTGAGTTCTGGGAGGTGTGCCTGAAGAAGACCTGCAAAGTCGGGTCGAAACGTTGGCTTTTAATAAAATAGTTTTGCCACTATTCAGCCTTTTTATGACCGTCCTTTCCTCCCCCCCTCCTCCCGGACCATCTCCTTCATTTATAATGCAACGATCAACTATTAAATATACAATTATATTTTCCTATTTTAATAAATAAACGATTAATAAATAAACCAATTATTTTTACCTACATCACCGTACAGTAATTATATTTATCCGATATTTTTTTCAACTTATCGTTTTTAATTATTATATCTTTGTATTCGGCGATTTTATTATCCCATTATTTGGCAGAATTATGGTAATCGCCAATAAAATACGAAGTTTTTTCGTACGTCCACTCCATGTTACCCGCAACAAGCTGCACCGATCCGAGGGCTGTTGGATAGACGGCGAGACTGTTCGGCGAGACGTTGAAACATGTAGAGAGATAATGCATTCGACAGGCAACAACGGTAAACTTGTAGCATGCGGCAAGAAGATATATTTTTTGTCGCTTTTTGTTCCTTCTATAAAAAGACTGTGTGTAGCATGGGTCAATGCCGCATGTTACATGTTGCCGCAGTGGAATTCCGCCTTAAATGTTACTTACAGGTTAGCTAGCTATATAACAGTTGTTTGTTTGACAGTTTACCATGTTCCGCTCGCGACCTTTCGACGACGCCTTCCTTTACAGACTATGGTGCCATCGGAGGAGGTAGCATTTCACCGAAGGTTGATGGGTGACTCTAAGGATGGAAAATACGTCTAGTTATAAATATATCAATTGAAAGATGACTGGTTCCTATAGTTTTAAGCTAATGTTCTTTTGATAAGAGCTCCTGCTGTATTATCAACTGAGGTAAACATTAAAATAGATATGTGGTGGAGAAATAAGATTAGTTCTACTATTCGCTCTCTCATTTATTTGTCAACAATTTATTAGGAAGAATTATTTATTTTAAAGATTAGATTTGAACGTTAAGGTTAAATACATTTGGCACTAAATAGACTTAATTGCACGATAATTATAATACGTATCTTAGTCCTTGGTGACCAAACTCCGGTAATCTATTGTACAGTTTAGATGTTTAGCAAACATTCAACATTTTTTAAAAATAATGTATGGATAATGCTGATGTCCAAAAATGAAATATATTTAATTAATAATAGTGATTATATAAAGTTAATCCAGTGGACCAAACAAATAAATGTTATCGACATAAAACATAGAATATTTTTATTTATTATAAGTGTGAAGAAGATGTATTACCCTTAAGAAAATACCCGTGGTAACTATCCGGCGAGTTGCATGTGCAATCAAACTTCTGATTAGTGACCTCTAATAGTCCTTGGTACAGACTTTTTTTTATCGAATTATTAACATCCGCCATAAACATCGTAAATAGTTTTGTCTCATCGTAACCTACAAATATTTCATTGACACAACTCTCGAAATCGAGGCGTTTTCAATCTATTTAATTAGGTACTAAAAACTGGTAATAAACCCATTTGCTTTCCACTTGACTCGTAATTTGTCACTAAATAAAAAAATAAGATGGCCTACAAAAATATTGCACCGTTTGGTCTATATAACCTCGTGATTTTTAAATGTAGGACGGGGGTGTAGGTCTCGCCAAACGGACCAATATTTTTACAGGCCACATTTTTTTCTCGATTTTATGAGAAAAAAAACCTTACGATCCAAGTGGAAAGCCAATGGTTGTTTAAGAATTTTTAGTACCTAATTGAATAGACAGTATGCGAATCTTCAGATTGAAAACGCCCTAATTCCACGAGTTTTCGTAGATCACATACAATTACACTTGCTGCGATCTGTCCTTTATCCTTAGTCTGAAACTTTTCTTTCCGTAAATACATATCCCCGTCGAAGTGAACTCCTCTCAAAAAATCAAAGACGCGTTAAAATGTGCCCCTCTCAAAAATTTTCTTGGCACAACTTGCGCCATGAAACCTACTTCTTGGCACCCTTGGATCTGGTGAAGAATCTTGAGAGAGCGCAAGAGGAAACGAGGAAGTTCAGTAAATGAAAGGAGGGTACCTCAAAAGCGGCTGCTGACAATGATTCAGTAATTTTGTTCTGGCAATCTATTAATCATGAAAAATATTTATTATTAGTATTGATCCATATTAGCATTCTCGATTTTCTATCTTCAGTTTTTTTTGTTTTGTTTATTTGTGTCCTCCCCTTCCTCCCCGTTAAGGCTACACGGTGTTTTCCCAGGACAGGGGTGTGGGCGAGGATTTAAAAGACTTCCTCGGCACCGGGACGCGAACTCGTGACTATTTTTATATCATTTTATCATATATCAGGTTGCCGTGCAACGGTGGTGCTGTGCACACGCGTTAGCCCATTCGACTACTCCGCCCACCTTTCTATCTTCAGTAGTACTTACTAATGCCTAAATTAATTTAAAAATCTAGTTATAAAATGCCTTAATATTAGCGAGGGCAATTCGTGATTCTGGCTCCCCATTGGTGGAGTTTTTTAAAAGCCGGTAACTAGAAATTGAATTGGGAATGGGAAATGGACATTTGAAGCGCTAAATATACCACTAAAAATGCTGTGAGAAAACGAGATATTTGAATTGCTGTTGTTTGTAGAACAATATGGAGACTGGTAAAGAGAGTGAGAGGAATTAAATGACAAAGATTCAGTGCCAGCGTACTAGTTCTACCGGAGTAGTCTGTTGGATAAATACTCCTATGGTACTGAGATATGATGAACAGTCAATTGCTGGCTAAAGGCCTGTATACACTGAGCAGTGAAGAACAGGCGTATCTACGGGGAGGAGGGGCTTTCGGGCTGAAGCTTTTTGTGTCGTTTATTTCTTTTTCTACCAAAATAATTATCGTTCTATATATATTAAAAAAAGCTTCCGGGCTGAAGCTCCCCCCCCCCAGAAAAAAACTTAAATGACCTTTATCCGTTAGTGCTGTGAAGTAACCGTAGCGTAATGGCATGCAATCACAGAGACCGTGATCTTTCTTCACACTGCAGCTTGATTATACCACAAAAAATGTTGAAACACACCACTCGATAGCTAGAGACAGACTGAGACGTGTTTCGCCTCTAGACGCAGAGTGATGTTCAGTCAGAATGTTTGGCAACATATCTAAAGTTACATGCGGTTTCCCATTCCGATCGGGAGACTTTAACCTGCGATTTTTTGTCTCGCAACAGGCCCGTAGATGGAGATTGGTCTATAGACATGTCTACGTAGACAACCTGAGACACGCCTCAGACAAAAATCGCACATCTATACTAGTACGGACTAGACTACAGAACTCAAATTCTATCGCCAAAGTTAGTCTAATACTCATCAAGAACCTTTCACATCCTACTTCCTACTTTCACATCCTAGAATACTTTTTTGCAGCCAGTAGATGCACCTTTCACACAACGGCCGCGTCACTATTCATTGGAAGTAGGCCTTGAACCATGTCAAATTCTATTGAACGATTTTTGTAAATCAAAAATGTCGAAAGAAAATTACTGTTCGAACCTTTGTTCCAACAGATTGGCCTACTTTTTAATGAATCAACAAAAGATCGACTTCGTCCCAAGAGGAATATCCAATATCCAAATATGGATCAAGCTGACTAATGTAACAAATCATTTACAGGGGTTTTTCAATAGCGTTCTGAAGTTACCGTTTAGTATTGGTTTGTTCGTATAGTACTTATTTTTAACAAAATTCTTTGAGTATTTAATATTAGTAAAAGCTTCATTATAGCCAAGAAGGGTAATACTCACTTGTATGTAGCCGTGATCGTTCGTCGATTTTATGACTTCAGCAGCAGTAGCTTTATCCTCTGGATCTATTTCTGTTCGCCGATTTCGAGTCCTAACGACAACCTAAAGGTGTACATTGCTACATTAGTCTGTATTATACAAAATAACATATGTATTTGGTTAAGTCGTACAACTGAAGGAATTACCTCATTATTGTTGGAGGGCTCAACTGCTGAAATGGCCGCCTGCCTCCAAATGAGGTAGGCACCGATAGTACAAGCCGCCACTGTGACCAGGGCAGGAGTCAGATATTGCTCTTTTCCCATTTCCGACCTTCTTTTCTAAAGCACTATGGCAGAGGGCCAATTTGAATGATCGGAGGAATTTTCGTTTTCTTCTCTTTAAACCATATTTGTATGCATTTTTTATTTATTTTTTAATTTTTTTATCTTGCTTGCATTTTGTTACTTGAAAATTAGGCTAGGTTATAATATTTTAATTTAAATGGGAATAATGTTTACTTATTTTCTTGATGCTAACCATATGATAGACTGAGGTTATCGCTTAAGTTACCGATTATAACTTGCTATAATTTCTGAAAAAAATGTAATCTTACTAACGAAACTTATTTATTGTAGAGTGATGCTTTTATTGTGATTTAATGTTATATTACTCAAAAATATAGTTCCAAAAAAATTGATAGTAAGATTGACGGCGGTAACCTAAGAGGACCGTGGAACTAGAGAAAGATGTGACAGAACGCAAGAGGTCTTCAGTCCCAACAATAAAAAAAAAGTAAATGACAGTATTATAAAATAGATGAACAAATACCAAGATTCGACCAAAACTTGTTGAGATTTATTAAACTAGTTACTATGAAAAGAGAAATTCGTAACACACTTGACGGAACTTTTTACCCAAAAAAGTTAATCATTAAAATTTTATATGTTAAAATTAACAATGAGAGGAAAACTAAGTATATGAGAGTTGGTGGTGAGGTGGATCTGAACTCTCCATTTGAGGTAGGTTCTTTTAAGTTTGAGAGAGTGAAAAGTTTTTTATACCTTGGGTCTGAAATTAATAGCAAAAATGACATGGCTCAAGAAATACAAAGAAGGATCACGGCTGCCAATAGATGTGTCTTTGGACTTGGCCGACACTTAAGAAGTAGGTACCTCTCAAAGAAGACCAAGCTGATCATATACAAGAACCTTGTTCGGCCTGTTTTGACATATGGCTCAGAGGCTTGGACGATGACTAAAAACGATGAGATGAAGCTGAGTGTGTTTGAGCGAGGAGTCCTCAGAAGGATTTATGGTCCAGTAAAGGAGGGTGATGCCTGGAGGAAAAGAAAAAATAGGGAGCTCAGTTCTCTCTATGCAGACATCGACGTAGTCACGTATATTAAACTGGCCAGACTAAGGTGGGCAGGGCATGTGGCCAGAATGAGCACCGTTGAAATACCAAAGGAGAAGCTGCACCTCGTAAGACGGGTAGGAAGGCCGAGAACGAGATGGTTGGACAACGTGGCCTATGATGCGAGAACCCTGCTTGGTGTACGGAACTGGAGAGCTGCAGCAGAAGACAGAGCCAACTGGCGGAGGCTCTTGGAGGAGGCTCAGTCTCGGTAACGGGATGTCGTGCCACATATGATGATGATGAAAATTAACAATGAATAATTAACTATATAAAAAATAATCCTAAGCGGTAATATTTCCCGTAGTGCCTTTTCCACATTTCACACCACAAACTTCCTTAATATTTGCCCACTTTGATTACTGTTGCATGGTATGTGTGGCGTCCATGCGGATCCCTAGGCAAAACTAAAGAGCTTGATAAATTGATTTTTACATTTCATCTTTAGAAGAATTTAAGTATCTTCATTTATCCTACCACAGTAAGTGCTTCTTTGGATTCTCCCACTTCCAAGTTATCAAATCCCGCGGTCCATCATACATCTCCGAACTTAATATTATTCACATCCTCTGTTCATTCTCGTTTTCGATCTTAACATTTACCTCCGAATCTTTTTTTTTTTTTTTTTGTTTATCTCTTGCCTCGGCTTTTCGTCTATATGGGGATTTTTCCAGGTCAGAGGATTAAAATCTCCCGGCACAGGGTAAGTATTAGTTCAACAGATTGACGAGCACTGCGTGTTTTATACACGCGTTAGCCTGGTAGGCCACCCCACCCCCTTCGGCTCACTGAACTGCAACATTCGATAGATCTTATCCTATCCTCGCAATTATTTAATTCTATCTCTTCCCACATGCGTGCTCTAATCACAACTATTTACCACCTATTCAACTAGTTCACAAAAATTGTATCCAAGGAGAAGGGTTCAGGGAAGTTTCATCAACCAATCTATCAAATCTATGGGCGTCTTCACGTATCAATTGTGGGAAGTGTCGGGGATCATAATACACAGCGAAAAATTTCTTAGCGGATAATTTTTAAAAAAACCAACCAGATTTTAAATAATTTGATAAGTATCAACGTCTTCGGAATACCGTACGATCTCAATAACGGACGCAGTCGGGCTTGGAGCAAGTATTTTGATTGACAAGTTTATGTGAATAACGGAGAGCCGGAAAGCAGTGAAGCTCTGAGCAAATTCTGAGAACATCAATTTGCGTTTTTTTTTTTTCTTTGATCTTATTGGATTTGTGTATGTACATTAATCAGAGGTTATTGATGGTGTATATCAATTTTGGTGATTGAAATTTCAGAACCGGTAACCGAATTGCGACATTTTTAAGAACACCGAATAATAAATCAAAGTTACTTTTAATTCACTTATATTTAATTTGAAAATAAAAAAACATTAGAAAACTGAGCATAAAAGCAACTGTCTGATGAATTGTCGAGCAACATTAGTGCTTATGTGGCATTTTCCGCTTGCTCTGTTGGATGCTCCCTTTTTTTTTGAACGCTGCGAAACATGCATCAGCAAAGCAAAACCAGACTATTAAACGCTCATGATTTGGGTAATTTGTTAACATGGAAAGGAAGTTGTAGCAAAGACCCTTACGAAAAAAGACCATGAATGTATGAAACATTACATGAAAATAGGAGTGGCAGACTCTCTACTCTGCAATTCGGGACCAACTATAGCCGTAAATTTAGATGTATGCTTTCGTTTATGAAATACTAGCTTTACCCGGCCTGCTGTGGCTTAGCCTGGCAAAATGAAAAATAAAGAAAATAGAAAGCACATATGAGTATATTAGTAGATAAGGACATCTGCCATTTTCAAAAAGTTGGGAAACAAATTTGTCTGTAAAATGGCTTCAATTTAAACTAATTCTAATGGTTTTTTTCTCATGATTCAAATTGAACATTCATAATCATCTGAGTGAATACGCCGTCTTTCATAATCATCAGAAACAGTCTTAGTTGAACTTATATAACTAAATTAAAAAATTAATTTAAAACGTATAATAGTATTGACCTACATAAGGAGAATCATATAATTTCTTCAAATGATAATTTCAATTACTGTAGTAATTATAAAATTTTCGATTAATCAATAAAAAAAAATGCTTGCCGACGTTCGGTAGTGAGGAAGCAAAAGGAAACGGCCTTGAGAGAGCCGAAAAGAAGTAAAAGAGAAGAGAAAGAAGTAAATGTTTAGAACTCAATAACTCTACAACGAACCGTCCGATTTCGATGATTTTTTTTTTATTTTGTCAGCAATTCAGAAATCTTTCATATAAATATGGGTATTATAGTCAAAAATTGTGTACTTTTTTAGTTATCGTCAAATAAAATATTGAATTCATCGTAACATTTTTCAGATTGTTTTCGGGAAAGTATGTTATACACATAAATTAAAAGAGTTTCAAGGGGAAGACTTTAGCCAAGTTTCATTAAAATCGGTAAAGCCGTTTTGGCGCTACAGTTTATAGCGACACATTTTTTGCGGCTTTGAACAGAAAAACATTTACATTTTTATTTTTTTTACATATATAAAATTATCGTAAGACAGAAGTACTATGCCAGAAACCTTCCCAGGAGTGTACGAAACAACTTCCAAAAGTTTCATGGCGATCGGTTGAATGGTTTAGTAATGCACTAAGGACAAACAGACGGACAGACAGACATACATTCATTTATATATATATATATATATATATATATATATATATATATATATATATATATATATATATATATATATATATATATATATATATATATATATAAGATGAGAGATATGACATCTACAAATGGGAAAAGATCTGTAGAAGGCAGTACTGGTGTCATATCAGTGTTAGCATTTAAGGTTTAATGTGCTATACTATATAAGAGAGTATAAGTTGTAAACAGAAACTATATAAAATGTATGCCTGGCCAGCTAGTGTGTCATAGTTATCAATTTTTTTAGTTATTAAATGCATAATATTATCAATGATTGCCGATTGTACATATGTATATTTATATCATTTATTTTATTTGTCTGTACGGAACCTATCCTTTTGTTATTTCGTTATGTGATTGTTATTAAATGTTCATGCATTATCTATTTGTTTGTATGTATGTATGCAATCTTGGTGACGTACTCTTACAATAAAAGTGAAATATTGAACCAACGAGGTTAAAGATATAATAACGGAAGCCGATAAAAAGAAGCATTAAAAAAAAAAAAAATGGTCCAAGGTGATGGTCAACCAAAAAACTTAAAATAGTTTCTACTGTTTTAAGTTTTGCTTCCTCACTAGCGAAGGTAGGGAAGCATTGTGTTCGTGCGAGAGATTAAAAAAAATGTTTTGCTCAGAATCGAAAATTTCCACTCGCATTTTACGTTTCAGACATCAAAGATCAAATTTGGTTCGGTATCTGTCTTTCTGTCTGTCCGTAGTCAAATCGATGTGACGGGCATATAGTCTGTGGGCCCTTACCGTGCACCCCCCCTCCCACATCCCTATAAATTGCATATCGTTGTGTTCCTTGTGACAATTTATTAAAAAAAAGTCAATGTTCCCACAAAAAAAAGTGAACGAATTGCCCCAAAATGGCGTCCAAACATGGCGGATTGACGACTTTGACTTTAGTTAGTTTTTTTGTTACTGAGAATCAGCATTTGGCTTAATTTCATCATAATTGGTCTTTTATTAAAGCTAGATAGTCAGAGAATAATAAAACATGAAAAAATATTAAAAACTAATTGGCTTACGCATTAAAAAAAATAGGTAAAGTCAATTTTTTTACAAAAAAATTTTCAAGTTGAAAATCAGGCGTCGTTTGTAATTAAACGGTCAACAATAATGCAAAACGTGCTGAAATAAAACATCCGGAGAATACATTTCTCTTTCTAAAACACTGATTACTTTTTAAAATATTTGAAGTAGTTCCGTAGAAAATGTACTTAAGCGGCAGAAAAGCGCTACTGGCGTAGGTGCCTAGAGGCCTCTACCACACCACTCGGTACTCATAAATGGCTTATTTATAGTGCTGTAATAACGTTTTTGGAAGTTGGACCATATCATAAAAAATATGAACTTTTAATATTAAATGCATTATTCCCTCTGCACAAAATAAGGATGGAAAGGGCGAAGCTATAAGTTCTTCTAGGTAACTGGAAATGATTGTTATTATTTGGTCTCAAAATGAGGGAAAACGCGAAATTGGACCCAAACATTGGAAAAATACACTAAGCGAACGACAAAGGATGTGCCAAAATTTCGGAAAAGAAAACAAGGATCAGTATCCATTATATGGCTAAACTAATATATAGTAGACAGATGAACAGAATATTTCAAGATGCTGCTAAAAGAGGGTCAAAATGCTTGATGAGTTTGGATGATATTAAGCAGGTTTATTATGGTGAAGACCACTTTATCAGCAAGAAAGATTTGTTCTAAGCAATTGGCAAGCAGGTCTGGAGAAAGTAAACGAGGTTTATAATGGTGAAAACCGCTTTATTTCAGATTGATATTGAAGTTGCACATTGGGACTATCTTCACTTTGAAGCAGGTTATAAAGAGGTCTATCGATAAAGGAAAATAGCTCTCCTCCTGCTTAGTGCAATTGCAAAATATTTTTGAAGGAATCTGAAAGGAAAACGAGCTATTGTGAAAGACTAGTAGATATTAGATCAATCCAAAGTGTGAGACACTAAGCAGATAGAGAACCATTTTTCTTTCTCTGTGGACTTCTCTATAACCTACTTTAAAGTGAAGACAGTCCCAATTTGCAACTTATGTTCCAATGTGCAACTTGAGTTTCTCAATTCATATCGCTCAGACAATCGACAATATTTCTTATTTTATCTTCTACGATTCTTGAGTAGACTTTCTTTGGTACTATAAACAGTAAGTAATCACGAATAACATTTCCTAGTATCTCATTTCCTGTAAAGGGACAAAACTACAGTCCTTCCATATCATTTTCTAATACATTTGTAGCCTTTGTACGCACAGCATTTTGGGTTACTTCGTCCAGACCAGCTGACTTGCCAATTGCTTAGAACAAATCTTTCTTGCTGATGAAATGGACTTCACCATAATAAACCTGCTTAATATCATCCAAAATCATCAAGCATTTTGACCCTCTTTTAGCAGCATCTTGAAATATTCTGTTCATCTGTCTACTATATATTAGTTTAGCCATATAATCATCCTTTGTCGTTCGCTTAATGTATTTTTTCAATGTTTGGGTCCAATTTCGCGTTTTCCCTCATTTTGAGACCAAATACTAACAATCAGTTCCAGTTACCTAGAAGAACTTATAGCTTCGCCCTTTCCATCCTTATTTTGTGCAGAGGGAATAATGCATTTAATATTAAAAGTTCATATTTTTTATGATATGGTCCAACTTCCGAATTAAATTAAGGAAATAAAAATGATTTTTTTAATAGCGATATATGAATTTTACTAAACAATCAATCACCTATTCATTAAAAGTAGTTCAGATTAGGTATATATTATTTTAGTTTATAAAACAGATATTAATATGACTCATTTCCGGGGAAGTATATACAATTTAAATTACCTCTATGAATCAGTAAATATATAAAACAAAATGTTAAATTACAAATATTAAATAAAAAATTCAAGATATTCTTGAAAAAAAATTTTTTTTTGGCAATTAAATTATTGTATTAATATTTATTCGTTAATACAATCAATATAATACAACAAAAACGTTATTATAGCACTATAACTAAGCCATTTATGAGCACCGAGTGATGTGGTAGAGGCCTCAAGGCACCTATGCCAGTAGCGCTTTTCTGCCGCTTAAGTACATTTTCTACGGAACTACTACAAATATTTTAAAAAGTAATCAGTGTTTTAGAAAGAGAAATGTATTCTCCAGATGTTTTATTTCAGCACGTTTTGCATTATTGTTGACTGTTTAATTACAAACGACGCCTGATTTTCAACTTGAAATTTTTTTTGTAAAAAAAATTGATTTTACCGATTTTTTTAATGCGTAAGCCAATTAGTTTTTAATATTTTTTTTATGTTTTATTATTCTCTGACTATCTAGCTTTAATAAAAGACCAATTATGATGAAATTAAGCCAAATGCTCATTCTCAGTAACAAAAAAACTAACTAAAGTCAAAGTCGTCAATCCGCCATGTTTGGACGCCATTTTGGGGCAGTTCGTTCACTTTTTTTTGTGGGAACATTGGCTTTTTTTAAATAAATTGTCACAAGGAACACAACGATATGCAATTTATAGGGATATGAGGGGGGAGGGGAATGCACGATAAGGGGGTCTGTAATATCACCTAGTAGCGTTCATTCAATCTTCATGATATTTTCAGGGATTATGCTGATTGGTGCCTAGATGGTCCCATATCAATTTTATCAAATTTCATCCAGCACTCTTGCTTACGCACGCGCAAACGTATTTTTTCAGATATGCCAATATTTCAGAAAGGGCTAGTTCGATTTGGCTCAAAGTTAAATAAAAGGTAGACTTTGGTGAAAAAATAATGTAGTATCAATTTTATTGAATTCTGTCCGCCACTTTCTCTTATATATGCACTACTAGTCGCGCATTTTTTCCATAACTACTAGACCGATTTTTTTCAAATTTGGATATAAAATCAGAGGTCACCCGAGGATGATTTTCCTTCTACGACATTACTATTCGCCTTCTAGTTTCAAAATGGCGGCCGAAAAACCTGCGTTGCTATGGAGTGTAGCGCCTAAACGAATGTACCGATTTCAATGAAATTTCGCTAAAGTCATTTTCTCGACGCCCTTTAAATTTATCTATGTAACATACTTCAACGAAAAGAAGCTGGAAAAAAGTTACGAGGGATGGTAAAATTAAATTCCGAATAATTCAAAAAGTATACACCTTTTTGTATATGGTATGATATTGTATATGGTTTTTTAAAAGCTTATGGAATTTCCTAAAAATCAAAGAAAAAAATCGTTTAAATCGGACAATTAGGAGCAAATATATGGTCTAACAATATAAAATATATATTTTATCTATCGGTATTTTGGTTTATCTATATTTTTCCAACATTCCTACTCAAGACTCTACATAAATTGTAATGTAGCTAATTTATTAATGAATAACTAACATTTTGTATTAGCAAATTTTTATTGCTTATTGATCCAAGGATGTCCAGAAGAAAGTTGTATAGCATAAATTGCACCATCAAAATTTTTGAGGGGATTATATTTATACATGGTTTTCAATTTTTCAGAGGGAATCATATTTTTGTGGTGTTCTACTAAATTATGGGAAGAACTTTAAACCAAAAAACAAGGAGAAAATATAGAACAAAATACAGTAAGTATAATTGTAGATGATCTACAACTTTTTAAATTCTACTTTTACTTGAACTGTTTTTGACAAGAGGAGGGCAATAAAATTTCTTGGGAGGGGAACATGTATCAATGACATTGGGAGGGGATGGTCACCCTTGTATCGATCTATTTGTTATTTTAGTTTTGTTTTGTTTTTCTTTAAATTTAGCAAATAGCTGCTTGAACAGACAGGATGGATTAGTGACTAAAGCAAGATAAGACTGTAAACCAACATAACTCCTTCCTGATCATTTAATAATAAAATGAAATAGTCTTAAAATATAAAAATACATATCAGTCTATCCTATTAATTTAACAAATCAACGAAAAAACTTGCTGATTTAGTTGTTTTCAGCTCTCTGTCTGTGTCTGGTAATCAGAGACATTTCTGAAATAAAGAAAACTTGCCAGAAGAGATATTTAAATAAAACTGTAGTTCAAATATTAGATATGGGTAAATAGTCGACTTATCAATTATGAAGATGAAAAAAAATTGTCAGAGGTGAAAAAAACTGCGAGGAGTGCTTGTCTCTACATCTGAACGATAGAACTGATGATGACCCACATGTTTGGATCAAAACATTGGCTAACCCAATTATACTGAAATTCCTGACAATTTTCTTTCAACCTTGTAGTTAAAATAGAGCTTTAAGGGAAGCTCCTGGAGTCATGACATTGCTGAATGCAATAGCAACATTCTCCACTATAGCTTTCTAAAAATTAAATTAAGAAAAAACATAAAAGTACAGTGTTGGTATTGTTGCAACAAATATATACATAGATCATGTGCCTCCAACAGATTTTATATATTCTTCCATTGTATGTTTTTTATATAATCCTGCTACATACAGTGGTGTCCATCCATCTGAATCTTTTGCATTAACATTAGCCCCAGCTTTCACTAGTAACTTAGCAATATCCACATGCCCTCCAGATGCTACCAAGTGCATTGCGGTCCATCCTGCTGAATTTGATTTATTGATATCGACAGGTTTTTCCAATAAATACTTGACCATCGGAGCCTTTCCTTTCATAGCGGCTCTGTGTAGTGCTGTATATCCAATATGATCCTCTGCATTTATGTCAGCACCCCAATGTTCTAGAACTTGGAAAACCTCCTTATAACCTTTTTCTGCAGCTATATGAACAGGAGACAGGCCTTTTCGGTCTGTAATATGGTGGGAAGCACCAAGCTTCAAGAGGGCTGATGTTAATTTAACATTACCGTCCCTTACACTATTCAACAATAAATTTTTGTTAGAATTTGAGATTTCACTAAGTACTTCTTCATCTGACAAGTGTAATGATGCTTTATAGTGCTGTCTCACAATAGTTAAATTCTGTAAATAAAAAATAATAGTTTATTAAAATACGAATAATAATAATAAATTGTTTTATGATTTTATTAGATTTGACTCTCACTCCTTCCAACATGTTTTAAATATTTACACTAATTTCAACTAGTTAAATTTTAAGATACTTCAAAGAAAGTGCAACATATCAATGTTATTAAGGTGTAATAGAATAAAAAAAAAATTGGACAAACAAACCATAAGAATCTACAAGGTAACCTAGAATATTTCTACTTTGATTTATAAGTAACACAGGATAATGATGCTCAAACAAAACCATACCTAGAGACTTGAAAGCTAACTTTGTAGGAAATCAGGGTCATTATCATTGCAAGAAACGAAAGAGTTGCTCTGAAGCTACTCTGAAGCAATTAAGAGAGCTACTCTGAAGGCAACAATCTTAATGTAATAAATATATCTTTTCAAGAAAGGGTTTCAGTTCGAAAAGAGAAACAAAAGATCTGGGGTGCAACATATATCTTTCACTTACCATGGTTCTTTGAATAGAAGTTATTTTCTGGCTATGTTGGGCAATTATAAAATTTTTGAAGTGCATTTTAAAGGAGCTACAGCTTAAAGCTTACAGCTAACAAATCATTTAAAACCATTAAAATGACAAAAATCCTATTAATTACACCAAAGGTAAGCAATAAATTCCTCATTACTCCATCTGTTTTTGTAAACCACATAACTCCAGTCTCTGAGATATCTCCAGCCTAGAGAGATTTGAAAGTATATCTCTATATTCAATCTATAAATGATTGTGGATTACAGGCCCATTAGTTATTATTATCGTAAAATTATTTTCTGTTATTTTCCATTGTAAAGTTTACTAAAATGAAATTACAAGATTTTTATTGTCTGCTATAGATAGGTAAAAACTTGTCACACTAATTCAAAGTGGATAATGTTGGGATTTCACACAGAGAAAATTATTCACTGATTTAATTTTCTAAAAGATTACAAGATGATTTTTCGGATTAAACGGACGTTGATACCTAATTATTTAAATATATCAGATCTAGAATTATTGAACTACAATAAATGTACTGTAAGCTGTATACAGTCAAAGTGAAGGCAACTTCCTAGGGGAGAGCACTCCAAAATCAAAGCCACCAGTCCTCTTGGTATGGGGGTTTAGCGTGGAGCCACCCTCCCCCCATCTTGTAAAACACTTCTGGTTATGAAACCTATGATTAAAGAAAAGCTGGACAGACATAATGGCAACAAACCTGGCGAGAAAAGGAAAACAAAGAACTGGAAATGGTTGACCTTGGCTACATGGAAAGTAAGAACTATACTTCAGTCAGGAAAAATGAAAGAAATTGCTGATGAGATAATGAAATTTAATATTGATGTGGCTGCGTTACAGAAAATCAGATGGAAGAGACAAGGACGTAGAGATAAGGGAGACTACTCTCTCATTTATAGTGTATCAGAAGAAAGGAAAGGTCACCTTGGAAGAGGATTTATAATAAGTAAGAAACTCATAGGCTCTTAATTGAATATGAACCTATCGACAATAGAATCTGCCAGGCAAGGCTAAAGGGAAAATTTAGAAATATAACTCTTATCTCCGTGCACGCACCCACAGAAGATAAAAACGAGGAAGAAAAGGATAAATTTTATGATAAATTGGCTAGGATCTTTGGTTTAACCCCTAGCTATGACACAGTGGTAAACCTAGGAGATTTTAATGCCCAGATTGGGAAAGAGAGTTGCCATTAAAGATGTGGCAGGAAAATTTACACTGCACAATACAACAAATAAAAATGCGCACCGATTGGCTGAATTTGCGGCATTGAGAGAGCTCAAAATAAAGAGCACAAGTTTTCAGAACAGAAATATACATCTTGACACATGGAAAGTACCTGGAGGAAGTGTGAACCAAATTGATCAAGTACTAATCTCTGCAAGATAAGCATCCTGCATAATTGATGTCAGAGCATGCAGAGAGGCAAAGTGTGATAGTGATCACTTTCTGGTGAAAGCATTGTTTAGGCGCAATATTGCAAATGCTAAAAAAGGCCGCATAGTAGAAATGAAAAAATGGAATGTGGAAAAAATCAGGTGTCATGAAGCAAAGAAGAGTTTTGAGTCATAGGGACAGGGATATACTTGTCAATAAATCTATTAATATAAACAAAAAAAAATTCTCTTCATATACACAACTTTCATATATCAATATGTAGCAATTTTGTAACAAAATACATAGAAGTATTAATTAAGAGAAACATGCAAAGAACACTTCAGTTTTAAAAAATAAGTTATGAAAATATGTTAGAGAGAAAGTTTATAGGAAATCTAACCTTCTGTGTTTCTTCATCAGATAGTTTGGCATGTTTTATCGGCTTGACCTAAAAAGTAATAATTAGAAGCATAATTAATAACAATTCTAAAGTCTCTATTTATTCTAGGATATCTTATCGCTTTTGTTGATGTATAATAATGCAGTGGCCAGAGGGGGAGAGTAGTTATGAGTTAATAAAGAAAGGAGTATTAATCTTTATTTCCGTACTTAGTTTCTTTCAGAATGATGAGTTATTAAAAAAGCAATTTGTTACTGTCGAATTACTGTTAATATATCACATCTTGATTTGACAAGTTGTAACTGATGATATTTTTGGTGCTTCTGACTCTCCTTGTTCCAATACACACAAGAAACAAGAACTTTATAGAAACAATGTGGACATACTGGTTTTTATTTATGTTAGGTGATGCAAGCCCAGCAATTGTTGTTCAGAATCTTTCATAAGTATAACTAAATTTAGTTTGTCTGATTGTTTTGATCTGATTGTCAGTAACCCACACCTGAAATAAATAAATATATTAATTTTCTTATAATTTTGTTTATTATTATAACAACCTCTTGTTTATTTAGGAAATATCCCAAAAGTATAAAGTGATCTTCCGAGGTATTATTATTATTTGTAAAATATAAGAGAGATATATAAGAGTATGTTACAATACAATATAAGAGAGATGTTACAATACAATTTATTTTTGTATTTTTAGAATCTAACTAACTCAAAAACTTTTTTTAGTTGTTTAAAATAAATAATTAATGTAGGGGCCTAACTGCCTCAAAACCCAAATATCATTTTAATTATCATAAATAAAAAAAATACAGACAATCAAATTTTGAATTATTTATGTTTCCTTTCTTTTTTAAATGTTTGAAGTGTCTAAGGAGGAGAATAAAATTATGTAATTCTCATTCCATCTGGTCGGTATGAGTTGCCTCCAGTAGGCTAACGGGCCTCATATACCCGGGGGGAGGGAGGAGGAATCTTGGGCAGCGTGGCTTTACTTGGTGGACGGTCATCCGTCAATCCAATACTCTTCCTACCATTAAATCCTACCTGTTCAATCATTTCTTATCCATCCAGACCTCATAAAATTGTAAATAGATACCACTGTAAATATGTATATAAAGCAATTAGATCGTTCTTCATTATTTCTACTTTATTTTCGATTTGTTATTATAATTTTGTTATTATGCCTATTTAATTACTCAACATTTTTTTTATGTATCTCTGTGGCTCCTTAGCCCATATTTCTGTCCTTCTGTATTATTCTAAAGGGACTCATCCCTGAATAAATAAGTTATAATTATTATATATATATATATATATATATATATATATATAAGTTTCCTTTTTCAATATATTATTTATTTTAACACATAACATAAATCTCAGGTTGGGTTCTGACAACTGAACATTCATTCAACATTAAATAACTATAATTTACTAATTTACTAATTACTAACTACACTTATATATAATTTAAAATAGTTTGATAAAATAATTTGTCCCGGTCTAAACCTTTGGTTCTATCCTTCTGTCAACATAAATGGCATTGTTAGCACTCACCCAAATGTTTACGCCTGTCAGCGAAATAATCTCTTCTTACAAATGTCCCGTTTTCTGTGCCACTTAATTCTTTTCTGCTATGTTTTTCTTCCAACATAAAATAATCTCCACTAGTGACTCTATCAACACTCGAAACGGCTAGTACTCCTTTTTCACTTTCTCAGCTTGTTGGCTAGCAGCTTCTCACTTGGCAGCTCGTCACCTTCCCTCTTGACAGCTTGTCACATTATCTCTTGGTGGCTCATAACCTTCTCTCTTGGCCCCTATCACCTTCTCTCCTGGCGGCCCGTCACATTCTGAGCCACATGAGGCTTGCTTCCCCCACTTCCTCCCCGTAGTTCGCGCCGTTACCACCCTTGCGCCACTATTCAAATGCCATGTAATGTTGACATTACAATATATATATTTATATTATAAATATTGCTCATTTTTCACTCCCTAGTGCTGTCACAACCCAGAGGAACTAACGTAGCTCTACACCATGAACTATTTAATGAGGGAGAGGAGCTCTAAAGGGAGGGGGAAAGAGAAAAGGGGTCTATTGAGACATAATATGAAGGATAATCTCAATATTCACATTTATAATAATATTGATTAATGCATGCCACGTGACTAAACCATTTTATCAATAAACATTTTTTAAAAGTTATGGGAAGAGAGAAATTCTTTTCTGCTTTGAGTTCAAGGGGCAACACGCTACATTTTCAAGATCCTTTTCTCTGCTTTTTTTTTTTTCTAAACTTGATTTCTTTCCACTTTAATATAGAAGCTAATTATGTAATAATATGACATATCTATGGTTATGTATTATCATATCAGTAACTTTCTAAGCAACAACATGACCAAATATTGAAAGTTGAAAGATTGCCAGAAGGGCAGATGATATGAATGATTATGAAGAAGGATTTCCAAGGTAAAAGAAGAAGGGGCACCCCAGAACAAGTTGGCTGAAAGATGTGGAGCAGGACTTGGCTGTGCTTGAAGTGGCTGCATGGGGAGGAGGAAGGCGGTGGATCAAGACGGCTGGAGACAAATTGTGAGGGAGTCCAAGGTTCATATTGTACTGGAGCGCCGAATAAGTAAGTAACTTCCTAAGACAACTGGATTGCTAAGAAATTTCTTAGATAGCTAAGAAATCAAAAAACATTATTTTTTCTAATTTTGTTTTCCAAAAAAATTGAAGCCCAAAAGTGACCAAAATTTTGAAATGCCTCATATATATGTATATATATATTGGATTGACTGTTAGACCTATAAATAAATGGTACATCACAATATGTTTAGAAAAAAAAAATTAAGAAATTTATATATATACTTTTTTCTATGTGAGATAATTGACTTATAGAATTCATATCCAATTCATAATAAAACTCATAACCCCCAAACCAATACGGTCTTGCAAAGCAGGGTATAAAATAGTTTTTAACAATAATTTTGATTTAAATTGGAAATCTTATCAGATATATAGATCTACCTAAATGTCCCCCCCCTTTTTTTCTATGTCCATACTGTTTGAGAAACTATTTCCTTCAGCAATCTGTTTAGAAACAGCCAAACTACTAATGTGGCAAAGTTATATATATATTTAACTCCACCACTACCAATGTTAGATCAGGATTACCCCTCACTATGGTAGTCAATTCAAGAATGTATTAATGTCAAGATATGTCTAAGAATAAAAGCTTAGAACAAATCGAACCTCTTTTTTTGTTTTGTCAGCTTCTTCACCTGCTCTTGCCCTTTTCCTAGGAGCCTACAAAAATAATAAATAAAATTAAAGAACAAATTAATGATTATAATAATAGGTTTTATTTATTCTTGAAATCTTGTTGTTCTAATACAAATACAAGAGGTGTTGATACATGTTTACAAGCTACCCAACCTTAATTCTAATTAATTAGAAAAAACTACATAATCTCTTGGAATTAGGAAATCTTTGAGAAACCAGTAAAGAATATTAGGTACAAGAAAGATGATTTCATAATTTTGAAAAGATATTTAATTTTAAACATAATAAAAATTAAATATAACCTGTTCTGAAAGTTCCAAAGCTGATGCAAATCCAGTCCTCGCAATACTTTCATCAAAACCCTAAAACAATATTAATAATTAATTAACTTAAGTAGCCTATAGATAAATAAAAACATACCAATTAAGACATGTGTGCTAACTAGAAGATCAAACTTTAAAAAAAAAAAAATCCTAATAGCCTTGAATTAATATCTTGATTTATTGAGTTTTGACACCTGTCCAGAAAATTGTTTGGCACACCCCTTGGGTACACACAGCTTCCAGGATCCATCTTTCTTGGAGATCATATGTTAAGGGCTGTACTAGTAACAAGACTTTGAAGGTCTTCAGGATTCAAGAGCAATCATGGGCAGAAGATAGGTGACATGTAATCATACAAATGGAATTTCCTGGGATGTCCAATTACATAGAAAAATGAAGGATTCTGAAACCAGGGGTTTACTTGAGTAATGCAGAATCATTTCATAATATTGGTAAATGTTTATTAAAAATCAAGAGATTTGAAAAGGAATGAAGTCTGAACTAAATTGATGAATGTGTGCATTTATATCAAATGAACAATCATCATTCCGTTTTTTACCTCGTCTAGGCTGATCTTACAATCAAATTGTGGACTCAAAGTCCTCTCCTGTGCCAGCTGGTCTGCCCTTTCGTTTCCAGAGAAGCCACAGTGTCCAGGGATCCATTGCAGGACAAATTTCTTGTGAAAGGACATCAAGTCTTCAACATCATTGGCAAGTTTTGTCAGGCTTTTGCTCCACTTTGACCTAAGTGATTGTAATACTGTCCATGCATCAGAAAGGAACACAATTTTTTAGTTTTTAGGCCTCTTTAGTTTTCTTATCAGTTTCGATGCCTCATAGGTAGCTTCTTTCTCTACCCTGATAATTTGAAGAAGTGATGCCTGTTGGAACAGCCTTCTCAATAATATTCCTCACAGGAAATTGTAAATGGATACTCCACCATTCGTAGTTGCATTTGTGGCCGATACATCCGTATATACTAGAGTCCACGAGTCTTTTGGGTACTTAGTATTTATGTGCTGAAGTGAAAGAGATTTCAAGAGTTCCTGGATAATATTCTGCTTGCTTTTGATACCAGAAATGGACCAGAACAATTTGTGGTTTCGGAGATTCAAACCAGAGAGGTTTACCTTCTACTGATGTTGACCGTTCTACAGACACTTGCTTTTCATAGATTTCAGAAACCAGTTTTGTAGTTCTGTGAAGTATGCTTTGCGGTTTTAGACTGTTTATTTTAATTTCTTTCACCTTTTTCTGAAAGGGATGATTTGGAAAGGACTTTGTTTTTGCCTCTAGTTGCAGGAGTTTCACATCTCTCCTCCTATCCTATCCTCTATTAAAGAGGAGTTTCGCAATTGACTCCATTGTTTTCAATAGGGGTTGATTTCATTGCCCCTGTTATAATTCTTAGCTCCTGGTTTTATACAGTTGAGATCCTCTGGAGGTTCGAGACTGCAGCGTTCCCCAGCTGGTGATTCCATACTCTAAGGAAGGCCTAACGTATATAATGACCTTAGTTTTGTCATATCTGCACCTCAATTAGAGTTGGCTATTTTCCTCATAAGACAGTTATTGTCATTCCCTTACGAATAGACTGCTCGATATGGAGTTTCCATGTTAGGTTAAGGGCAACCGGTATTTTTTCGAGAGGCTAAAGATTGAATATTTAGTCTTGGACCGATTAATAGTCTTGGCCCGTTTTTTGAGATTATCGAGAGTCATTTGCATTCGGTTATTTGTTGTGAGAATGGAAGATGATCTATTGCAAAGGGTGATATAGTCTGCGAACAGGGGCGCTTTGACATTATTTGGTAAATCTTGAATAACATCGTTTATAAATATTAGGAAAAGCAGTGGGCAAAGCACTCCTCCCTGAGGCACACCGTTTTTAAAATTCCTTGCCCGGCTTCTTGTATACCTGAGATAACTCTGGCTTTCCGATCCTTCAGATAGTCATTAAGCCATATGAGGGCTTTCCCATTGATACCCATGTTGGCTGCTTTTAAGGTTAAGTCCATACATTATGGAATGCCTTTTTTAGGTCGATCCAGACTGCCAACATGTGTTCCTGTTTTTGAAATTCGTCCTCTATTTCTTGGGCGATGTAGGCAACTTCATCCGCAGTAGAGCGAAATCTGCAGAAGTCTGCCTGTTCAGGAACAATAGTAGCCAGATAAGCCGGTTGTTCACGAGTCTTTCTATTAGCTTTCCCAAGCATCTAAGAAGGGTGATGGGTCGAAAGCTGTTTGGGTCAGTTTTTCTTTTTCCTTCTTTCAATACTGGGATGATCATTCCTTCTTCCCAGGTTGCAGGTACTTTTCCTATCTTTCAGCTAGTATTGTAGAGATTGAAGAGACTCCTCTTGGTTCGATGGCCCAGATGGATGACAAACTCATTGAGGATACCGTCAACTCCTGGTACACACTTCTGTTTGAGGCAACTGATAGCGTTGTCTAGTTCTTGTATTGTGAATGGTTGGTCCAGTTCTTCTTTCATAGATTCTGCAGCACATAGGGCGTTTTTTACTTTCTTCACTCTGGCATATATATCTGGAGTCTGGCCAGAGACGGCGTACAGTTCACATCACTCCTGTGAAACTCATTCATTTTTCACCTAAACTAACTTATTTCTTAAAAATTTTTACAGTAATTTCTCACAATAGTATTTTTGTTTTTAATCCAACATAGTCGCGTCTTATATTTATTTACGAATCATAACACATAGAAGAAAGTTCGTTAACCAGCTGCGGCGGAGAGAAGAGAAGTAGCTAATTCCCTTAAGCCTGAGAGTATTAAAGGCCATCAACACGCCTAAGTTGATAAACAACACTTTTCTTACGTAAGTAAATTTTTTTTCTGTCAACAAAATGGTGCAATGCTCAACTTGTGACGGCCCTATCGTGAGAGACGATAAATATAATTTAAGCTGTAATAAATGCCGCGTAATATTTCACGGCAAATGTTGCAATTACAGTGAAAAGGAGATTGACGCTATAAAATTACAAAAAAAAAAAGCTTGGCTATGTAAAAAGTGTGAGCAGGGCAAAAAGGCTGCCCCAGCTAGTGATAAGTTACCCAGTCCATCCAAGAGCGACACCAGAGAACCCTCCTCATCGGATATTCTCCTGGCCGTCAATAAGGTCGGTGAACAGGTAAATGAAGATATAAAAAATTTAAAAACGTCGCTTGAGAAGTATGGTGAACTCAGTTTCGAGTTGAATGAGAGGTTCACAAAAATAGAAGGACACCTCGAAGCCCAAGCGAAACGCCTAGAAGAACTCTCCTCAGAAAATATGATGCTGAAATCCAAAGTAGGTGAACTTGAGGTGCGTGTCCACAAAGCCGAGCAAGGTCTACTTCGTAGATCAATAGAAATTCGTGGCATCCCGGTACGCGCGGGAGAGACTCCATCGGCCTTGGTAGCCAGCGTGGGAGCCGGCCTCGGGATCAAGATCAACCCAGAGGACCTCGACTTTGTGGAGCGACGGAGACCAAGAAAAGTTGATCCCCGACCACCACCCGTGATTGCTCGTTTTGTGAGGCAGTCTGTACGCGACGACTTGGTGCAAAGAAGAAAGGTAAAAAGGGACTTTTCTACTAGGGATATTGGTTGGCAAGAAAACGACTCCCGCCGGATATATCTCGGCGAAGAAATGTCTCCTATGAATAGACGTCTGTACTGGCTCGCCCGTCAGAAGAGAGCAGCAAGCAAATTAAAATACTTATGGTTTGCGGGGGGTAGAGTTCGTTGTAGAAAAGAAGATGGACACCCGGTGATCTACATCGATCAGCCACAAGATCTTGACATTTTCTGCTGACGGTTCGACATTCGTCAACTAGATGGTCATAATTGGGAAATGTTAAGCGTTGCCTACTATAAATCACTTTGGCGTATTATGTTACTGTTTTACCATTATTTTTTCTCTATCACAACTGACGTAATCTTCTATTTTATCATGTTTAGTCTTTTTTATCATTGCTGCATATTATTATCATTACTTGTATTTAGCCATTACTTGCTTCTTTTTAAATGTTATTCATTATATTTCAGCTGCCTTTCATCATATTTCTCTATTTCCTATCCAACATGATTAGTATCCTGACCTCTTGTCATGTTAATTCACAATCCTTACCAGCCCATTTCGACGAATTTCAGCAATATTTTACCTGCAATTTTTACCATACTATTGCAGTTTCCGAAACATGGCTAAAACCCCACATACCTTCCTCTTCCGTTTCCTTACCCGATCACACCTTTATCCGCCATGACCGGATTACAAGAACGGGTGGTGGTGTGGGTCTTTACGTCCATAATAGCCTAAAATCCCGAACCCTAGATATCTCACCTCCTTCCAAATGTCCCCACATGGAATACTTGTTTGTTGAAATTTACTTTAAAGCCCATCTTCTCCTATACATTGTAGTATACCGCCCTCCTCTGGTACCTTTCGACCCTTCCTTCGAATCAACCCTATACAAATTTATCAAATTTTACAGTAACATAATAGTTTCCGGTGACTTTAACGCCAATCTCCTTTCCGATTCCCACGATAAACACTACCTGAAAGACCTTTTCTACTCCCTTAACCTCTTTATAGTGCCATTTGCTCCTACGCATCACACTTGCTGGTCTGATACATGGCTGGACCTGTTTATCATCGATTCAGCCCGAAACCCTTTTTTTTTTCATAAAAATAACGATAATTACTTTGGCAAAACAGACAGACAACTAACTACACTATCATGAAATGGTGTTTAAGTTATCCTTAAGTACTTTCGAAATGTAATTACACGAACAATAATACTTTACAGAGGTATTTTAAACCTGATTGTTTTTCATAAAACATGGTCTACATTTTACCATTTTGGGGGGGAGGCTTCAGCCCGAAAGTCCCCCCCTCGTAGATCCGCCCGTGCCCATGCCCCACTTAAAACCTCTACATTCCGCCGCCAACCTGCTCCTTGGATGCGTCAAGAAATTCGAAATATGCAAAAGAGACGTGAGGCAGCCCGTAGACGTTTTAGAAGAACCAAGCTT